TAATTTTACATTAATCGCTTCAATTTTAATCAGAACTGATAATAGCATAGTAAACGGAAAAAAATAATCAATTATATTTATGACATTTTTTTTACCAAACTATCGTTACAAAATTGATGAAAATTGTTATCATATGTTATATAAACTGGTTTAAAATATATGCAAGAGTTATGGGGGCACGGAAGTGTACCCGCCAAGTCGAGCAAAAATGTAAAAAGGGCACATTCGAGTCATTTCATTGAGAACCCCTGTATCTACGCTATGGAGTAAACTATAACTAAATTTTCATTGACCAAGAGGACATCACATATAACGAGGAACATATCCAAATTACATTAAAGGTTTTTTACCATTAAAATATATTTTAAAAAAAATCATCACATCCAAAACTTGAATGTATAATTTTTTTCTATAAAACCAAATAACAAAGATACCCCTCAAATTCTCGATTTATTCAATTTTTTATTGTAATTATTTTTTATTAGGATAATTGATAAAAAATCATTTTGTGGCCAATGGAATCATGCAGCAGTTAACAATAATCTATAAATGAATTTTGCAAGTAATTCATCACACACTTTTTCACGTGCAATTCGACATCCTCTGTCCCTGTTTGCCGTGAGCAATGAGATACAAAGGTGTTTTGAAGTTATTTCCACTCTTTAAAAATTTTACATTACGCTTAGTAATAACTAATTTGTCCGTCATTCATTTATTATCTGTGATTTTCTTCTATTATTTTAATAAATCAATCTCACGAAATAATATGTTAATAATAATTATAAAATTGATATTACTGTTGCACAATAACTTCATTCGATTCACATTTATTTGAAAATAATTTGAAGAAGGAAGCCTCACTATCAAGTTCAGATTTATAGATGTCAAATGTGGCATTTTATAATGACCCAACTGTAGCTACAAAAACAAAGGAGATCCCATCAAAAACATTACATTTACAAAAATGCACAAGTTTCACAAAGCATTTGTTCTGCCGTAAAAAGTTATGAAATCAACTTAAACCAAGTCGAATAATTCAGTACCCCTCTTTCTGTGAGAACATCTATCCAACCTTGTTATAGATTTAGGAATACTTGGGAAACGCGCGCAGCCAATAATAGATCATAGCCATTAAGTCTCTCTTATCTTTCACCTGGAACTCGATGGCATAGTGGATAGTGGACAGTTGTTAAGCTACTTTCGCAAGGGCTGGTTATAGATAGGGCGGTAAAAGTTTATGCTCCTCCGTGTATCGGAAGGCACGTTAAGCCGTAGCTTCCGGGTGCATGTCTTTAAATCGCATCAATCCGCACTAGGCTTGCGCGGTATTCAATTCCATTCCATCCATACGGAAAGCCTGAGCCCCAGAAGTGGGGACATTAATACGCTGATGATCTTTACACCTACATATATCGGTTACTATAATGCGTTGGATAATGATGTTTCGGATCCTGTCCCGTAAAGAAACGCTTTAAGCATCATCTCTTATGTATATTAAATATACCCGTCTTCAAAAATTCTACTCTTTTTTTCTTATAACATTACAATAAGTAGCTGAAATATTCAGTCGACAATGAACTTGTTTTTTAAAAAAGACCAATAATCCTCAAGTGTGTCAAAAACATGATTGATAAATTATAATCTTTATCTTATCTGGCTCGCTCTATGTAGAAACCAAATTGTTTTCGGACTTTACATAAACTGGAACTAGACGTGTCCTGTGTTTATAAGAATAAAATATATAAGTCAATAATGGAAAATAGGATAGTGAATTTCAATCCGAAGCTATTGCAGGTAAAACCGAAAGAAACAGCATCAGATGGTAAGTAGTTTTTGAATTATTTTTTGTTCGATTATGAATGAAGGAATAATTTACTGTAGGTGAAATATTTACGTAATTAACTACAAATGCTTTTATAGTACAACAACAGACAACTATAAGTTAGATATTACATAAAAAATATGTAATAAATTAATACATAGAAATAAGAATTACTGCTTAAAATTAATGTGAAATTATACCATAATATGAAATTGATAAAAATAGTATTAAGTCTACATTATTCAAGTTAAAATCAATAATATGTCCATAAATAATTTCTTTTCGTATTTATATGAAATCTAAGATTAATTATTTACCTATCTTTTAAAACAATCTTCTTTCGAGTTATGTGTCAGCAAATTTTTTTTCTGCTTGGCATTAAGTTGATTCCAGACGATAACGAATTATCAAGCGAATGTAATATGTATATTGTTTAGTTCGTTCAAGATAAAAGTAATAGTTGGATAAATTACCATGAAATGTGGAAACATTCTTTTAAAACTAGCATGTAATGTGAAATCAAAATAGTTCACATTCTTATCTTCGTCTTTTACATTTATAGATATAACATACGGTGATAATATGAATTACATAATCGGATTAGTATTCATTTTATTTCGGTTTCGATTATGTCAGTCAATACACAGTGTAGCCACAACGCCAACAATTCTAATTCGAGTCACAATTATACACAATATTTAAATGCATATATAGATAAACCGGACAAAATAAATTACAAAGTAAAATAATAATGTTCAATTTAAAAGTGTAGTAAAATGTTTATCGGCTCTTAGCCAATCGAATTAAATAATATTTTATAACAAAATTTAAATGGACGGCCGAAAATATTATTCATATCTATAGATGATATAAAACGAAGGCTTCCCCCTGCCTGTACGCTAAGATGTTTTCAACTACATGAGATTTTCATTAATGTACAGAGTGATTCAAGAGGAAGGTTCAGGTATATGTATAATAAAGGACCACGTGACCGAAGCCACTGGAAATATAGTATTATATATAAAGTTTGATTAAAAACGCATATAATTCATTATACTCAAATGTATTACATACTGTTTTCCCACGTTACCAGCGGGTAGCCTAAATCACCCGTGTACATACACAAGTGTAGATGAAAGAATTTTTTAAACCAGTCCAGTCGTTTCGTAGCCCATTCTATGTAAACAAACAATGAAATCTTTTCTTTTTTTAATATTATTATAGACAAACCTACATACATGTAATATATAAAATAAACGAACGCACAAATAAAAAGCAACTTTTTTTTTATCACTCGAACAAAAGCTTTGTCTTTTCCAAACGAGCGACAGTAACAAAGAATAAATATCAAATTCGGGTCCCTTTCCCATCATTTGATAATAAAGCGACCGGCTTCTTTCCTTTCTTCGTAATAAAGAAACGTTCTATGATCTAAGTTTTCACGTACTAAGTTCAATGTTCTATCCAGTTTGGGGTTACATTCATGATTTCCTCAACTTCACACAACGATAGAGAAACTTGTGTGATGTTTGATAACTATTAAACTACTCTAGACATACTAAGACAGATTAGACTAGAGAGCATTAATAAATATAATTTTTGCATTTTTGCAATTACTTGATATAAATATGGTTCGCTCACAATTTTAAGCTCATGGGGGGCTGGATATAGAGTACCTACTGCTGGGTACCAGGCCCTTCTCCTAAAAGTGAGGGTTCAAGGAGAGTTTTAGGTGGGTAATGCTATCTGCATTTTGACTAGCTTTCGAGTGGGTCCGTGCGGATAGAGAGTCCCACACACCCTCTGATGCCTGTGAAACGACAGAGATAGAGCATAAAGCATTTCCCTACGAGAAAAAAAGGATTTTAAGCTCATAAAGCAAGAAAAACCTGGTAGCGTTGGTCAAGGTACATAGTTAAGAATTATTGTTCACCGGCTTCACCGGCGTCGTCATGTATTATCTATACATATATAAAAGGAGATGTCCTGACTTACCGACTGACAGACAACGCACAGCCTAAACCGCTGGTCGTAGAAACTTGAAATTCGGAGGAAAGATTCCCCTTAATATGTAGAGGTGTATTGAGAACGGATTTTCGGAAATTGCATCCCGAAGGGGGTCAAAAAGGGTGAAACCTATGTCGATCAAAATTGATATTTGGGTAGTTAATGACCCTAGGAAGGTAATATGTTATATTTTATCCCGATAATTAGCACTTAAAGTAATAAAAATAAAAGATTTTATGAGGAATCATAATGTTACCATAGCAACCATTGTTTACAATCTGATTTTCCAGAGTAATAAAATTAACTAATAATATTTACAAAATATTTTATTGTATAGCGATGAAAAATTTTATTTGAGTAAATATTACATTTTCGAAATTTAAATGCATAAAAATTAGACGACGATAAATGAATTCTAAATCGCAGATTTTTTTACCTAGAATAACGTTTATTGCAAAAAATATATGTTGCACTGTAAATAGAAATATTATTCCATCATCAGCTCTTTTAACTCCCTACTGCAAGAGCTCACAGGCCTTCGTTATAGATGGTGATAAGGAGGATGGGCCATGACCGTCCACGCTGGCCCAATGCAGATTGGAAGGTATTAACGACTGCAAATGCTTCCGGGCTTAATGTGCCTTCCAAAGTACGCAAAGTAGCTTCAGATACTATTTTTTTGGTCACCCATCCCGTAAATGGCCTTTGCGAAAGTTGCTTAACTACAAATACCACGGGCCGCGGCGCTTATCCACTACACCACCGAGCTACCCTCAAATTTCTCCATTTCATTTTAAATTTTAAAGAATTGATATAAGAGTAGTGAGTTTTAAAATAAAATGTAGTAAGAAATTTAAGCTTTGCTATACTACATGACGTTTATGACAAAGTAATCTGCGCTAACGTTTCTATCAAGGAATTTAACATAGATTACGTTTCGATTGAGTTTTGTGTAAACTCCAGAACTGTTTTTCATCTGTACTCCAAATTGGATTAGATTGGATAAATATCTCTCTAGGTAATTTCATCATCAGCCCGAAAAACAACAGCATTATTGGAAAATATATACTGCCCAAAGTAACTATACCGCGCGAACGAAAGCAAAGTCGCGGACAAAAGCTAGTAGATAATTAAACCCTTTTCTTGAATCACTAGATATTTATAAAAACCTTATTAAAATCAGTTGAATTGTTTATCTCTCTAATTTTATACCATGTATATGTAGATCCTACTAAAATACCTTTGGAGTCAAATTGTAAAGTAAAAAAAATGTTTTAATTTATTTTTTATGATTACTTACTTATATGTATATCTTTAAAAACAATTGTATATTTTCAGCGGAACAAATATCTAAGCTACGTTCCTCCCAGTCCCCCATCGCCATATCCTTACAGCGCTGCCCAACATGGTCCTCACTAGAGCCCCTTCAATTCGAAGGTTATTGGGACAACGAAGTTAATGGTATATTACTGAATAATGGACAAACTGGTAAGTGATTTTTCTTACGAATTTTTTTTACGATTTTTCTTTAATTTGGCTGAATCACGTAATTAGACGTTCGCCCCATTAACGCATTCTGGCGTCTTTTACAGAGGAAATGTCCAACCTTTAAAGCATCGTGGTGTCTTTATTTATTTATTTAATACTTTAAGCACTATCGTTCAAAAGCGGGCTATATGCCTTAGGCATTCTCTACTCTATCACAGACAAATTGCTAAAAATATATAATAATGAAATATATATTTTCTCCAATAAAAAAAGAATAAACTATAAAAATTTAAGTTATAACATAAGTAGTCGATTGAAGCCATCCCTTAACTTTTGTATCTCCAGGAGTACAGACTCAGACTGTTTGTGTAAAACAAAAAAGATGATAATTGGATGCTGTTATTGAAAATAAAATAAAGTTATAAAATTAAGAAGTAAAACAGCAGTAACAGAATGTGTATCTCAAGTGATTATATTTTTTTTCTTTCCTTACATGTATTTTTTTGCATAAATATCTGACACCAACCTTAAAATTGTTGGCGTATCCACTTCTTGTGTATCGATTAAAGAAAAACAAAAAAAGAGAACATTTTTAAGTCGTTTTAATTTTTTACATACATACGTAATAAATGCTAATAAAATTTAGCACACGTGTTTAAAAGCCCAGACAGATCTTCATTCAACAATATTACGGCATCTCAACGACATTATATACATACAGGTCGAATTGTTAATCTCCTTTTATATGAAGTCGATTAAAAAATAGAACTAGAAGAAGAAAATCCAAATAATTTTACCGTTGATTTTACTGTTCTGTCGGAGCTCCTCGCGTTTTGTCGAATAAAATGTCGTCAACCAAAAAATTTAAAGATGGCTTCTCTTACGATGAACTTATTTACCAATGACCAGTCAGAGACAATGTCAGAGTATCGCTCCACAAATTAAAACATTAATTCCACGAATTAGTTGGAATGATTTAAGCATTTTATTGAATACAGAATAAAAGAAAAAGAATACAAAGAGCTTTGATTTCTTTTGAGTATTTTCTATTTTTATAACACAATTAAAAACACCAGGAATAAGCGTAATGCTGAAATATACAACTAGTTCTGTAATTGTAATTTAAATGACTTGAAAAATGAAATTTTTAGTCATAGAAGATGATATCTCATCTAAGTTACTGTTTACTTCTAACTATAACCGTCGGAATATTCAAAATTTAACCGCTTTTAAAATAAGTATTATATATCACTTTTTTAATTTTGAAGTCGGTTCTATGTCATTATTTTTAGTGATACATATATAGAGGTAGGTACTTTATATAAATATTTTGTATAGGTATCAAAAAAATATTAAATATATTTCAAAGAAATTAATCTGCAACGAAAGGCCTAAAATGTTTATTTATTTACCTAACCACGAATAAATCGGTGTACATACTTACTTGCATAAAAAATAATGTAATATTAATCAACATTTCAATAGAAAAAGAGATACCGAGAAGACAGCTGAAGTAATACGAGGTTCGGATGTAAGCTTCAAGACAATCAAAGAGAAAAGTATTAAGACAACTTTACTGACTATAGAAATTCAAAGCCATCGATTTTTATCTGAGTTCAAAACTTCATACAAATGGGATTACAATGGGACTTAATATTTTAATGTATTTTATAGAACAAAAACCAAAAGTTAGATCGTAGTCTAAATAAGTATTGAGATACAATTAGTTTAAAATCGTTATAAGTTAAATAATTATAAAGGTTATTGATTTTGTTAACTGTGTAAAAAACGTACATAAATATACAAAGATATAAAACAAGAATGCAAACAAAATATATTTAGTGTAGGTATAATGACTGAATGAATACTTTATTGTACGCCCGGCTACACGTCAGACTATAGATTGTAAACTTTGTACCGACCGCGCTACGTATAGAACTTCCCTACTGATGGAGTTCTGCTTCCGGTGGTGGTGTGTAGCGTGACCGTGCGTACACTATATTAAACAACACGACAATTATAATTAGCATAAGCTCCTAATCAGTAGCGGCGTTATAGCGGGGCGCTAGAGATAAAGAAAGATAAGCACCCTCTTTTTTAATACGGGAAATTATCTTATTTCCATGGAAGCAAGCGGTGACGGATTAAGCCCGAGCGGAGCGGAGCCTGTAGCAAATTCCCTTCCCCTTTGTTTGCTTGTGATTAATTAAGTGTAATAAAACAAAAATCTTAAAAACTCATTTTTCTTGAATTGTAAAAGTAATCGCCAATCAGACTCAATTTAAGTTAAAATGTAGGTCAACACGCGCCTTCTTTGAAGAAAGATAAAAAATTGAGAGCATTCTTTCCGTCAACTTATATATGTTTTATGATGAAGATGACGAATAATCGGAACCAGTTACTTTGCAAACGAAACGGAAAAGTCGTCCTTTGCTTTTCGAATAACACAATACAACTCATCTGAGACTTGAGTTTTATATGTCAGTATATGGTTATATTTAAAAATATAAGTTTATACAGAGGCGTTGCTTATTTTGTATCTTTCACTTTTAATACCGACATCGAGGCTCCCAATTGCGCGGGGCCCACAAAATCACGGAACATATGCTTTCAAATAATATATATTACAAATATACTACTGCCATATCAATGTTGTCTAGATTTTTACTTCCCGTTTTTAATGTTCTGACTGAAGCACGCTATATATATATATTTGAGTAGTTTAGGACCCTGGAAAAGTAATAGGTTATATTTTATTCCGAAACGCAGATCTTAGTGCTAAAAATGGGAATAGAAGTTTTTATGGGGAATCAAAATTAGCGGAAAAATCTGATGTTTATTAATTTGATAATATCATTAACACAAAAAAATAACAAATAAATATCATTGAATAAATGTACCTAATATTGCTTATTGTATGGCGATGAAAATTTGCATTAGAGTAATTTATAACTATAAAAAAAAATCTTTTGAATATGTTCATGTGCAAGTAATTTAATTTATGAAAGAAAAAGTATTTTTATAAATAACAAATAATATCATTAAAAAAAAAATCTAATATAGCTATTATATAGCAATGAAAATTTGCATTTGAGTAATTTATAACTAAAAAAAATTCTTTTGAATATGATCATGCGCAAATAATTTCATTTATGAAAGAAAAAGTATTTTTAATATATTTTGAACTATACTACATGGCGTTAAAAGTGCGATATTTTTATTATTATCAAGGAAAGTGCTTCAAGTACTTTAGTTTGAAATTAAAATGCCGTAAAAACTTTTAGCTTCGCTATGTCTTAGATAACATTAAGTATATACTAAATCGCGCTATTGTTTATGTCAAAGAATTTTCGTAGTGTATTTTAGTTTAAGATTAAAATTAATAGTATGCATTCTTAATTAGCAATCGAAATTGTAACTTAATTGTAAATAAAAAAACTGGAAAAGATTTTTTTTTATTTTAAATAAATTGGTTCAAAATCAAAATCAATTATTCAGTCCAGGCTATTACATAGCACTTGTGAATGTCAAAAACTACGCCAATGGTACAAGTCCCTGTACTGAGATGAACCAGCAAGAAACTCAGCAAGGGCTGCTTTTTTCTTCCCTATTTTATTTCACACAGAGATATCTAATTCAAAAGAATATGAAGTCACTTTCCATTACAATATCAGAAATAACTAGACAGATATTTTCGGTTACTGATTAATATGCCTACTTATTAACAAATCAATATAAAGTATTCATAATAAAAAAAAAGAACGAAATTACGAAGTCCAGAGCAGACTCATCCCCACTGGCAGCACCCGTTCACGAGCATGGTACGTGAGCCAGCCATCGCTTTGCTCAACCATATTTTAAGGAATGTAATGACCCGACACGACACTACCACAGAGATTTTTAAGATATGCTCTAGGTACTTAACTTATGCAGTGGATTAAGGAAAATAGTTCTTATACATCTATCGACGGTTGCAGGACACAGCACACGATACATAGTTACAATGTTAATCACATTAGTTTAAAATATCTAACACCATGTCTTTTTATCGTTAAGATATCCTTTACTTTGTAGACAATTTTTAATACGACATTTAAATTACTTATTAGCAAATTTAATACATTACTGGTTAAAGTACTGTGTACCTTGACCCATGAATGAACCTTATACCTCCTGTAACCTGTATATAAGCATTACTAGCTTGTTTTTATTTCTAGAATTAAGTTTGTGTACATCATAATGCTTGATATATTATATTTTTGATTAATTTTGCATTCACAATGCCATACATGCCATACTGAAAATTATTCTTAAGACAAAATGCTTGATATATATATTAATATTGTTCCGGAAAAAGTATACAATTATATTACTAAAATCGGCCAGTAATTGTGCACTAAAAATATGGTAGTCGCTTTTAAATTATAAATTAATATTTTTACTGACTATATGGTGTGATAAGATCAAATATATTTTGATTCGTTAATTGGAATATACGTAACAGGGTTTCCTGTTCGCTAATCATTTATTTTTAGGTTTTATTGTATAGAGCACAATAATCAAGGTTTGGTTATAACTGTGATCAGATTTTAAGTATTTTCTTCGGTTACGTCGTGTTTCTCGCTAGGTCCAACCATTTCGTTTTATGCCTTTACGCTCAACTGGTAACTAAAACTAGTTGCGGAATACCTTTGTTAATAAGTTCACTCATATATCTAAATACAGAGTTTAAACTATGAAACTCCCGGGAACTATCAGCATTTATTTACATTGTGATAGGTACTAACTAACCACTAAACTAATTTGAAACAGTACAATAGCATTATTATTAGATTTTCGCCATACAGAACAACATAATATTATAAATTTTAAGCCAAAGTATCATAAGACCAAGATTTTCTAATTCATTTCATGTGAGAATGTTTTCTTGTCCAATGATTTGTCAGTAAGCGAGTTTTTATTTGGGTTCGTAAACATAAAGTAATTTACAGTCAATTGTTTGCAGATAACAAACAAATCACAGTCAATTGTTTGCAGATAACAAACAAATAAAATAGAAATGATGCCTCGGTAAAAAATGAATTCTATTTAATATGTACGTCATTTAGAAAATAGAAATATTTTAGATACGTATTTATTTTTGCTCTAATTTAATAAGAAATTACTTAGCTGATTTAAGTTAATTGGCATTAAAGTGATGGCTCTGTATGCACCACTGTGTAAAAATGTACAAAGTTGTCAATGTCATGTGACATTTTAACTCAATGTATCACCGTAATACTCAAAAAATAAACAAATACTTCTAATTATATTGAAATTACGACTAAACCTTTGTACCTACTTAATAGGTACAAAGGTTTAGTCGTAATTTCATACGAATTGATGATATTTTCACCTATAGCGAAAAACAGCGAGAAAAAGTTTTTTTTTTGCGTATGTAGACTTAACACGTTCCTATCGCTTCTAGTTCATTTAATATTATGTTTCTACTTATAAACCTCATGTCTGTGTTTCGTGATCCTTGACGATTCATTTAGATAAAATAAAATGTCTATGTTCCAGTCTAAAATATATATCACAAGTGAAGTGCTTTTTATTACCAAGTTCAATGATTTTAATATTTGTTTTATTAGAGGTTGAGTCAATAAAGAGATTAGTTTCGAATTCTTATGATCTACTATGTGATTTTATAAAGAAAGAAAAGATTTGATTATTGCATAGAATAGGCTCCAAAATTACTTGGCCGATTTAAAAAAATCTTTCACCTACGGAAAGTTACATCATATGCGGTGGACATAGGCTCTATTTTATTCTGAGAAACACCAAATAAAGGGAAGAAAATGGAATGGGAAGTTAGTATAGGAAATGAAAACGTTGCTATGGTAACCATGTAACCATTGATTACTATTCAATTTGTCATTATATTCGCGTCATGATATAAAACTTTATCCAAATTGTATTCAAATGAATTGTTAAATTAAATTCTAAGCCTGGTTTAACAAAGAGGTTACTTTGTATCCCGCTTAACAGTTCCCTAGGGTCCACCCGGGCGAAGCCGCGGGCAGAATGGTTTTTGTGAAATAAATTGACTCTTAACAACTTATTCACACTGGTTGGTGGGCTCTGCATGCGTTATTTGGCTCATTTCACTGATCGATAAACCAATGACCAACCATTAAAAATGAGAACACAAATATTGTCCGCAAAAAATATTAATAAAAAAACCGGCGAAGTGTGAGTCGGACTCGCGCACGAAGGGTTCCGTATCGAAAAAGTGCAAAAAATACTTAAGTTGTATAAGAGGCCCTTAAATATATATTTTTGTATTCGTACTTATAGCGGCAATAGAAATAAATTATCTGTGAAAATTTCAACTATCTAACTATTACGGTTCATGAGATACAATCTGGTGACAGACAGACAGTGAAGTCTTAGTAATAGGGTTTCCGTTTTACTTTTTGGGTGTAGAATCCTAAACAATGGCATCTATTTATACACAAAGATGTGAAGCATAGTACCTGTTGAGGAAAACTGACATTAAACTCGGCTTTTCAGAAATCTTTCCTACCGAAAATCTAATTTAATACAATTCTTATTATAATGTCGCATTCACGATGCTATACTGAAAAATATTCTTAATGAATAATGCTTAAAATATCCACTCGGTCCCTGGCACCCTTATTCTAACAAAGAAAATAAAAATTATTTTTTCGTTTTTGTGTCATACAATTTTAATATATTTGTGAGTTATATTATGCGTTAAACGATATTATATTACAAGTACCTCTTAACCTACCCTTTAATTAACATTGGTTATTATTAATAGGTGTAATTTCGAGTTCTTAGAATTTACAAATAATATGCGTATTGATAGTGCTTCTAGATAAGTCTTTGTCTTAACTGGTCAACATTCTCAAACAACCTTTTTGCTTAAATATATATATATATATAAACTTTTTGCTTATATATATAAGCAAAAAGTTTGTTTATATCATGTATATATGTATAAGCAAAAAGTTTAAGGACCACTTTCTTGGCGGACTAGATATAATGAAATATAAAATATTCTGTTGAAAAATTTGTTAATTGCTGCTTCTAATGAAAATATCCACCATTGAATAGCAAGCTAAGTTACCCATTTATCGGGTGTTTGTGTGGCAGCGGCAACACTGATGACGTGTAACATGCTCATTTTTTTATTTATTTAAATCAGCTGGACAGGTTTTAAACGTGCAATATATTAAACTGTTACAGCATACTTCACATTTGAGTCCGACGCAAAACCAACTCTCAGAGGTGGCCCTCTGATTGGGGAATATGTGTTTGAGCAGATGCACTTTCATTGGTCTGTAGACGACTTTACTGGTTGCGAGCACGTACTGGATGGACATGGGTGAGAATTTTCACAATCACACAGACATACAATAATATCTAGAAGTAAACCATTGACGAATTACCTAAATATTATAATTTGCAGTAGTCTTGAAAAAGTGAACTGTATTAAAACTCCACGTTGGGCGCCAGTAAATCGCAGTTCGCTCATCGGTTGGCTCGGTTTAAATTCATTGAATTTTGTTGGCGTTAATTCCTATTGAGAATTTTTATTATAGAAGTGTGACTTCCGGGAATGGTTTTATAAACATAAATCATATTAAAATAGATATATAAATCCCAGACAAATATAATATTCTACGTAAACTCTAGCTCATCCGTCGAATGTAAATGAATGATCTATATTTCGGTGAGTTCTCTTTGTATAAGTGTATTTTCTCAACTACATAAAGACTTTTTAATCAACAACAACTACCAGTTTCAGATTCGATTTATAATGATCCAAAATAAAGTGGGAGTTACTATCAGTAACGGAAGAAACAGTCTCATATACATATTTGACTTTCCCATCGTACCTAACCCTCGTCCTGTTTTCATGTTCAAAATAATTGGATATATAAGATCAAGTGAATTACATCATGCATATTCAAATAAAAATGTAAAATAATAGGTATAGATATTTCGTCAACTTATTATATTACACAATACTATGTTTCCACCAGCAGCTTCGCCTGCGCAGTTCTGCATTATACACATAAATCTTCCTTTTGAACTCTGTATATTGACGAAAGCCGCATAAAAATCCGTTGTGTAGTTTATGAGATCACAGCGTATACAGAGCGGCAAACGACTTTGTTTTATTTTATGTCTAGACAACGTTGATCAGAGCTTAAAGTAAATATAGCAAAAATAGCTTTAAACTTTTCAGAGACAAAGTACTGAAACATATAGGACATTAGTCGGTTAGTTACATGTATAGCTGTTGTTGTACCATAAATAAATATAGCTTCGTGATGTTGTACTCTTTGAAGTTGAAAATCAAAGTCATTTTATTCTTATATCGCGGATATTTGCTATTATATATATTTGAATATGGACAACGGACCACAATCCACCACGGTGGCTCAGTACGGATTATTGGGTGTTAAGCACTGCAGATGTAGCCGAGACTAACGGCTTAATATACCTTCTGAAGCACGGAGGAGCTCGGGTAGTAAATTTTTGGTCACCCATCCTATGATCGGTCTATGTTATTTAACAACCGTATCGCTGTCTAAGCGCGCGAAACACATGCCATTGAGCTTCTTACGACATATTTATTTGTAAGAGGTAGCTCTGTGCGCTCTGATATATGTAGTCTGTGACAGGGGCAGTATATACTCTGGGACGAGCCGGATATCATGGTGGTTGGGTTATAACATATTGTATAGAGAATAAATATCTAAAAGCATCGAGCTGGCGTCTTATTATCAAGAACCCTCACATTATTATATATAAACCTCAATATTTTTTCATTACTTCACTCACCCATCTCTCTCAAACTCGAAGACAATCTGTTGTGAGTTTAAAAGTCGACTAAGCGATTGTAATTTATATTGCTCTTAGTCTATTTATTTCAGTAAATGTCTGGTAATCTCTTTATTATATGATGAAATGATATAAAGAGAATCGTTTAATTATTTCATATGATAAAATAGGTCTGTGTATCTGTGATACACTCATGCCTAACCCATTAAACATAGTTGTGCTGCCCAAAAAACTATACCACGCGGACGAAGTCGCGGGCAAATGCTAGTAGTATAATTTTGTTTACATAAACAAATTAGATTTTATTTTTGTACTACCCTTTCAACGAGTTTCAAAGAATAAGAACATGTAGAAGAGACGGTTTGTTTTAAAAACTTTTAATAACAACACTCGACATAAGAAATATGCTATTTAATTCAGCTTATGTTATTCAGAGTATAATAAAATTATAACAAAGGTTTGCCTTCATGTTTCGAGAAATTACATACATATTTCAACCAATTAAGAGCTGACATATAATGCATATAGAAATAAGATTGATTAAGATCTACAAACCAGCCTGCATACATATGTTGCTTTTTAACATATAACTACATTTATACAAAATTAGATGTACGAGTATACGATTACGATTAGGTATACGAGTTATACGAGAGATTCTTACGAAGAGAGTAAAAAAGACTATTGAATCATGTATAACGTGTTGGGAAGTACTAGTCACCACCAGAGGTATGCGGACGGAGCGCGTTTGATAAGACACACATGAGAGATTTAAGGACAGATAAATTTCAGGATAACATCTTAGAATCTATCTTAATCAATGTAATTTCGGTATTTATAATGTACTATTTCTCTATTTCTTAGTTAAACAAAAATAAATTCATATTTGAAAGTGTTAAAATATTTTCATTATCACCGTTATAGTACAAAATTAATCGATATCTTCTTCTTTATTACTAGACATGTCTTCGATTCCATATCCTTCTCAGATTCTGACTAATTTCCTAGATGTATGATTAACTCGTCTATCACATTGTCAAACGTGACGTGGTTCCTATATTTCAGTATAGCTCTTAAATACCTTACTCGCCATTCAGTTATACTGGGTCTCTCAATCAAAATATGTCTTTTAGATTTACATTTCTTAAAGAAATTTTTCATCTTGTCTAAAAGATTTTGAAAATTCGGATATGATAAGATAAGATTTTGAAAAATCGGTGTGATACACGTTGCCTTTTCCGTGATTATTATTTCCGAAATGCTTTCGAGATTATCTAAATTAGTGGAAATGCATAAAAGAAGAAATTGGATCAATTTATTGTAAACGGATCAATCCTTTCTGCACTAGGATCTTTGTGCCATGAAACGTATCTTAAACATTTATTGTTTATCCTACTGGTGAATACATCGATATCTGGAATACCTAATTTAAATTTAATATTTCTAAAGCAAAGTAAGACAATTAACATTCGGTATCTCGATGAGTTTTCCTAGATTCTACGTCGGTTATTGCATTGTCATTGGATTTAATGTAAGATTCTAATACAATTAGTTTTCACCCTTGGCACCACTGGCAATCTTTTTAGTTATGTTCGTGAGGTACGGATATTGAACGCCACCCATGCCATATAAGAAACTGCTGTAGATTACCAACACGTAATAAAATTTGGCAATTAAATAGACCCTTGTCATATATTTTGATAGCTATATATGCTGTCTGTTATTTATTTATATTAGTGTATATTAGTATTAGTATAGTACGCCGTTTTAATGACATCTGCCAACGTAATGTTAATTTAAATTAAAAAATATTCCAATTTATTTTCTAGATATGCTGCGGAATGTCATTTTGTGCATTACAATAGTAAATATCATTCACTTGAAGCAGCCGTTGGCCATCCGGATGGGCTTGCTGTCGTTGGATTCCTTTTTCAAGCAGTGAACGCTCCGAATCCAAGATTTGACAAGCTTATAGAAGGCTTAGAAGGTATCAAATCTATGGAGAAGGCAGTCCAAGTGCCATCAGGTAAATTAATCATTATTATATTTGATAAATTTTGCATATACCGAAAAATATTCTTAATGAAAATGCTTGAAAATCCACTTTGTCCCTGGCACTCAGAGATGAGACTCGATCCCATGACCTTTCGCAATTCGGGTGACTGCTCTAACCTACTGAGCTTCCCAGGATCTAACAGGACTGACGAATTTTTCAGGTAGTTGTTACTTTTCCGCTATTACAGAGCGTATTTTCATCGATGTCCGGGCAATCCACTCAAACAACCGAAAGAAATATTTTTAGGAATATTTAAACTTTCGATAAAGATGAAAATATGTTCTAATTATCACATTTGTTCAATTTTAAATGAAAAAAATCAATTTTGACAAAGTGCAAGACAATTCTTTAGCATTTTTCATTAAGAAGTGAATCATTGTTCACCTTTAATTAATTCGAAACATAACTAGTAACATAACTCTAGGAGTAAATTAACATTTTATAAAAAAACCTCCCCAGTCTTCAATTGTATCCTAATAATATTTTTATTTCCTTTATCAAAATTGGGTACTCGATAACAAAATGATGTTAATTAAAAAAAAACTTTTTTAGCGTCATTATCTTGGATGGATTCATCAGACCTACAAGAAAGTAACTACGTAACATACAAAGGGTCCCTCACAACACCCCCTTATACAGAATGTGTTACTTGGATCATTTATGAAAAACCAATTCAAATTGGAACAGAACAGGTAACTGATTTTGATTAATGATCTCAAATAATACCCGATCTCATTAATCTTGCACGACAATAACAAGTATTCAAAGAGGATTTAATTAAGATCGTTTCTTACACATTTGAAATCATTTTATTAATAACATGTATAATATAATTAAGATTCGTCTTGAGAGATTAAATTGTTATCATTGGTTGATGTGCCGGTCTCAATTTTTAATCAACTTCAAAATCGATTAAATCTTTTTTTTTTAATAGAACTGACTTCATACTTTAAAAAGTGATAAATAATATTTATCTCAAAAGCGACTTATTCAAGAAAATGTTATTGAAGTCGGATGGAGGATTTTTGCAAGTTTTTCGATTTTGATAAAATATAAATGGCACCAACTCGGTTCATTTAATTGCTGAATGAAAAAAGAATTTTGAAAATCGATCACCAATTGGAGGAAATATTGGTGAACATCGATAAAAAAAAACATACATCGCCGTCGAACATGTAACCTCCTCTTTTCGATTTTGGAATAGGTTTAAAATACTTATTTATACTATTGAATAAAATGTAAGACCACGTATTTTGATTCCTATGTCTTTTGTTAATATAAAATTTTCAAAATCTCTTAAACAAAAAAAAAAACGTGAAAAATAATATTTATTTTAAAAGTGTTTCATAAATAATAAAAATCTTATTGAAGTTGCTCACAAAGTTTTAGATATTTACACAAAATCATGTTAGTTTTATTTTCGTTTTGTGCCATTATTGTATATTAATAATAGCACTTATATCATGAATCAACTCGAGACATCGTTACACTGATCTTAATTATGGTTTAATCCGCTAAGGTATTGGTTAAAATATTTAACTGATCACAGGCCATCTAATTCACTGGGGAAACTACAAACTCAGCCTTTAGATTAAACTTGTTCCTTAAGTAATACGAAACAATCAAATTATCCTCCTTAAATGTTCCGGAGGGTGTTTATCGGAGCTATAAAACCGTCCCTAATAAATTGACCGCCATTTCCGACGTTTTAGTTGATTGTGCTGATCACGTCACATATTTTGCAGCTGGGCCTACTGAGACAGCTGGAAGGACCTGACCAGAAGCCAATCGATAGGAACGTAAGGCCGACTCAGCGACATCCACCGGGACACTCTGTCATTTACGTTAAACAAGTTAAAGCCAAACTATGACCACTTTTAAATATACATTTATATAAACTAGGTTTTTCGTTTCATTATATCAGTTCCCGTATAACGCTTTTATATTTTATTAAGATTGTGAAGAAAAATTTTGGTCAGAGAAATTTTCGAATCATCATCATCATCAGCCGGAAGACATCCACTGCTGAACATAGGCCTCCCCCTTAATACATACATACATATACATACCTATTATTGTAAATTTGGTTCCGAAATTTATTTTCATGAAATTTTTTTTCTTTAGTTTTCCAAAATTTCAGCTTATTATTTAAACAAATAATATTTGACAACATCACATACATCTCGAAAATCCTATATTAAGTAGCTTTTAGGAATCTAAAACAATGATAGTACCACTTCTTCTAGACCTGAGACAATACATAAAAGTAAATTTTCTACATTGACCCGATCGAGAATCAAACTCCGGATCACAGAGAAGGCTATATAAAGAAGCAAAAGTAAAACAAAAATATCTTCCACTAGTATACACTAGCTGTTTTCCGGCGACTTCACCCGCGTGAATTATTATAACCTTATAATTATTATATCCTTGTCACTCACGTAAGAACTAGCTTCCCATAGGTGATATTATTTTAAATCCGTTCTGTAGTTTGAGAACCTTAAATGCTAACAAATATTCAAATCTTTCCTCTCTCTAATATTAATACAGACAATAAATTTTCTAATATTAGGTCCTTACATATGAAACTGGCGTTTTGTCGTTCTGGCCAATTTAAACACAAATTTCTCCTCCTTGGTGGGGAATTAAAAATTCATTCAAATTTATACAGCCATTTACACATATATTTGTGTTTCGTTAAGCGACATTCATTTGTTTTTGTTCTTCTGTTTGTTCTATTTACATCATCTAGTATAAAAATGGAAAACTTGAAATATCGTGTTATTTACGAGTACGAGTACCACCGCGGTACCATTGCTGTGGAAACGGCTTGAAGGGTTAATGATATGCATGGCGGTTGTGTCGCAAAAGAAAACACAGTGCATTTTTGGTTCGAAAATTTTCGTTCAGGAAAATTCGACCTGCAGAACAAGCTCGTGGACGGCCGGAAACCAAAGTTAATTATAAAGAATTGAAGGCTAATGTGGAAGCGGATCCATCGCAAACCACGTCCGAGTTAGCTGCAGGCTGCGGTGTTAATGATAAAACTGTTTTAATCCACTTGAAACAAATTGAAAAGATTAAAAAGCTTGAAAGGTGTGTACCTCATGAATTGAGTGAAGCAAACCGGCAAACGCGCTTTGACTGCTGCGTTACATTACTTAACCGTCACAATAATAAAGGGTTTTCAAATCGAATCATTACCTATGATGAAAAGTGGATTCTCTACGATAATCAGAAGCGCTCATCGCAATGGTTGGACCCTGGCATGCCAGCCAAATCCTACCCCAAGCGAAAATTAACCTTAAAAAAGTTACTTGTAAGCCATTGGTGGACTAGTGCCAGTGTCGTTCATTACAATTTTCTCAAATCTGGCCAGACGATTACAACAGACGTCTATTGTCAGCAATTGCAAACCATGCTGGAAAAACTAGCTGTTAAACAACCGATGCTGGTCAATCCCTCTACGCCACTGCTACTTCACGACAACGCTAGACCATACACTGCACAACAGACGGCTACCAAATTAGAAGAGCTTCTATTGGAATGTCTAAGATATCCTCCGTACTCTCCGGACTTCGCTCCAACAGATTACCATTTTTTTTCGAAATTTGGATAACTTCTTGCAGGGGAAAAAAATCAACTCCGATGGGGCAGTGCAAATCGCCTTCAAAGATTTTATTGATTCTCGTCCGAATGATTTTTTTTTGTAAGGGGATCAATGAACTACCTATTAGATGGAAGAAGTGCATAGATAACAATGGTTTATATTTTGATTAAATAAATATATTATATTAAAAAGTATTCGACTTTTGTTCCTCCCATACCAAACACCAATTTCATATACGAGGGTCAAACTGAAAGTTCTTAGAAAATCAAAAACTGATTACATTAGCCAGTTATTAGTTTTATTATATCTTTTCAAAATATTGTCCATTCACGTCAATACACCGCTGCATGCGATGGAACCACTGGGAAAAGCACTTTGCCCACTCGTCCTTAGGGGTCTCTTCAATAGCATCGCGATACGCAGCCACCGCTTCTTCAGCATTCATAAACCGCTTTCCTTTAAGTTTTTCTTTAATTTTTGGAAATAAATAAAAATCACAAGGCGCGAGGTCGGGGCTATACGGCGGGTGACCCAGTAATTCAACGTTTGATGTCGCCAAATAGTCGATCGTTCGCTTGGCGGTGTGTGACGAGGCGTTGTCGTGGTGAAGGAGGATCCTACTGCGAGGTCGTTTCTCTCGAACTTTTTCCAAGACAAGTGGCAAACAATTGGTAGTGTACCATTCTGCAGAAACTGTTTTTTGATCCTCTAACACAATTGTTGCAAAATGACCTATCCTTCCAAAGAACGAGGCCACCATTTTTTTTCCCGCACTTCGATCTCTCTTCACTTTAGTTGGCAACTCCTCGAAAGGAAACACCCACTGAGCAGATTGTCTTTTGGTTTTAGGATCATAACAGTAAATCCAGCTTTCGTCACCTGTTAGTATGTCGAACACAGCATTTGAGTCACCTCCGTTAAATCTTTCAATCATTTTACGACACCAATCCACACGATGGAGTTTTTGAGCCTCAGTCAAATTATGAGGTATCCACCGGGCGCAAAGCTTCCTGACCGCTAAATGTTCGTGGAGGATTTTGTGCACTTGACTCATACCGATGCCTAAGCTTGTCCGAATCTGTTGATAGGTCACTCTTTTGTCAGTCTCTATCATACGCCGCACAACACAGATGTTATCTTCAGTCGTCGCCGTAGAAGGCCGTCCCTCACGTAAATCATCAGTGAGATTAGTGCGACCACGTTTAAACTCATTAAACCAGTTGTAAACAGTCGCACGAGATGGGGCTTCATCGTGAAAGGCCAATCGTAGTCTATCATAACTTTCTTGTTGACTTAAATGACATCGAAAGTCATAAAAAATCATTGCACGAAAATTTTCTCGTGTTAAATTCATGATGACGTGACACAGACAATTTTCAATTTGCCGCCAAATCGTAAAACAAATGACAAATGAATGAAATATATACTCAGTAATATTGGCAAAGAGTTATATTTTCAAATTTTAGAATTATTTTTTTATTATATTGTTTATAAGTGGCCAGTTCTAAGAACTTTCAGTTTGACCCTCGTATAAGGATTATAAATAAATCTACATTTTTGATGAAGTTTTTTGTTTAAATTTGGAATTTTTAGCAGCTTAAAAAATCCAGGGATAGCTAATGTCAAACTCGAATACGAAAAAATAATGCATATGACTGCAATTTCATTTAGTTCGAAAAAATATAAACAAAGGTTATGAAGTTTTTAATATTATATAGGCAGTATCTAAATTTGACAAAAATCAAATTGGATCCATCTATTTAAATCAATACTACTAAGTACACCAGCGCAAGTTTCAATAGTTTTCGTAACGTGTTCATAAGAATACAAATAAAAAAGATTACGCATCATACTAACTTTTTTCGGATCTAAGTTCACTAATGAATTACTTCTACTAGAAGGAACATCCGTGTCCGGTAAATTTTGTTTTACGCCACTCATTATTAAAGCACGTCCATACTCAAAGTCGAATTGGTCAGCCATTTTCCCTAATAACCATTTCATCGCTCGATATTTTTGTTTTAAAATATTTTCTCCTTCATACCACGGTTTTAAGAGTTCGCTATGAGAGTTCCTTAAAATTTCATAATATCTCATTCTTTCGTCATAATCTTTTTCCATCATTTTTTGTCTCCAAGTTCCAATAGATAAATCCCAAGTATCGTTAGGAGCCAATTCTGTATAAAAGTCTTTCATTTTCATCACTTCCGTTTGATGATAAAAACAAACAGGGTTCTTCATTATGAACATTTCAGACTCTAAAAGTATATCCTTATAGGGATATATTTGAGGCTCAACTGTCAAAGATTTATTTATTGTATCATTTATTATATCCCTTACTATATTTGCAATCGTTTCCTTTTCTATTCTAATTTTAAGTTCATCTACTTTTTTAACTACGCTATTAAGATCTTCAACAGAATCACCACTTAAATTTATAATCAGCTTATCAGTCAATGTGTCAAAAAAACATATGTTACAGAAACTCAATTCCCAACTCTCACTGAATATACCTGGTTTACCAGAAATAAAAGTAAAACATAAAACCTTACTTTGTCCAGGTGGTATAACATCTTCGTTTTTATTAAAAAAGAATACTTCATCATTATTATCTTCAGGTATAAAAGGAATATTTTTTCTTAATTTTCTCCAACAATATCTGAGAGTTACTGTTCCAAGATTTTCTAGATAAAGTTTAGATCTTCCAGCCCTTTTGATAGGAACTTTGAAATAATATGTCCACGAAGTACAATTTTCATGCCATAGCTCTTTTTTCATATTGTCCAATATTGTTAAAATTTGATCAGGAATGTCTTTATAGATTACAGTGTTGTTGATCCTTATGGCATAAACTGATACTAACTGGGGTGCAGCGAAATATTCGTTAAATGTAATTGTAGGTAGAGGAGGTAATTTTTTCCTCGGAGGTTTAGGTTTAGCTCCACGTATAATCAATTCGCTAATATCGGGCCTGAAAAATATAATTAGTAAACGTGTGAATACTATAAGACATTATTTTCATAGTATATACCTGTTAAATGTAAAATTATGACACCAACGTAAAAATAAGATTGAAATCTTTTATGCACATTGCTCATCGGTAGTTGACTAAAATGTAAAGTTTATTTTCCTCTTTTCCTATTTTTAACGACAAAAATCTGAATAGTTATAGATATTTATGCAAATTTACCTGAAAGCGTCAATTTTCATAATTTTTTTACCCAATTCCTTTTCACGTTTGTCTCTATAATGCATGTATTCAGCGTCGAGTAGAGGACACGGTTCACGCTGAGGTATACCAGACAATCCTTTTTCGACCTCTTGGATATATTTAGGAACACCTATATGTTCTATAGGCTGAGGTGCGCCCATTTCAGCACGAGTTCTTTTAACTTCATAAACTGGCTTACAGAAACATGGTTGTTTTAGCCTCAAAGGCTGTTCCCATAATCCTCCTCGAAGAGATGGTTTACGTTCTATTGTAGCATGTTCTAGAGCAGTTTTTCTTTCTTTATCTTCACGGATATCCTCTAAAAGATTCATTGTAAGGTCTACAGGAGGCCTACCGGTCATAGTAGCCAAATTTTTAGTTTCTTCTTGGCGAATTTTTATCCATTTCTCCCAAAGAAGTAACTCACGATCTGGTTCTATTGTACCAGATATTGTGATTATGTCTTTGTTTTTACGCTTTTCATTCATTTTTAAGAATATTTATATTCGTATTTTATCCTGTCTACTTTAAACTCTAAAACGAAATTGTTTTGATTTGAAGGAATGAGCAAAGTATTTATTTATGGAAAGTGTGTTTTTGGTTTTGATCCATGTGTTTTGAAATAGTTTTGAAGTTATTTGTGTCAAATTCAAAAAAACTAGACTCACCTAGGCTAATTAGTCGATCGATAATTAAATTCTACTAAATCAGATTTGATCGAAATAAGTAACCCATAAATTTATTATACTCTGAGATACTGTCAAAGCTATATCAAAGCCATAGAATTAATAAGTACTACGTACAACTGGAATGCTAACTGCGATATTTTTGACATATCAAAATGAACCTTAATTATATGTGAATAAAGTGTTTTTTTAAATAACCATTATCTACATAGAGAAATGAGCTCAAGTGAGACATCTTTTTTCTTGGTGTGTCTCTGTCGCACAATTGCCATGTGAAATATTGTTGATATAAAGGTGGTAAATTCGTGAAAACTGTTTACACAGAACAAAACGTTTTCTATATGAATATTATATTTGGCTTGTTTATAAGTTTACTAATAATATACATGCAATAGCTTTTAGGTCCAGATAAATCAAAGTTTTTATATTTCACGACATTTCAATATTGTAGGCATGTTTTATTACCTTTACGTTATGCAACACTAGGTAAATTGAAGTATTCACGTGGCACCATAAAAGCAACATGGCGTTTTCTTTTTTGTCATATGGACTTGTTTTTAATGCTCTCTGAATTAAAAAAGTGCTTTAAATAGTATATTGGATTGAAAAATGGTAAACAATATATGTGCTGTGAGTGGGTATGGGAAAGAATTGTACCTGGCTGTGGATTATCTTTTCACAGGTAAGTATGTCATCAGTAGAAACTAGGGTGACTATACTTTACGTATAGAGATGTAAAGTACGTACGTACTATAAGCATAGACCCTATTATTGCCTAATTAAGTACTAAATTTAAAATTGTTGTATCACTTAACACTTTGGTTATTCACTATTTGCAAGTCTACCTACATTAAGCAAGCATGTGGAGGCTCATAAATGGGTATCCTTTAATAATTTTATTGGTCAGTAGGCTTATCGTTTGATCGATTTTTTGCAAATATCTATTTACACACTAAACCAAACCAAATTATTACTATAATAAAAAATATACATTTTAATTTAAATTTCCAGTTTGCCATCGGATTTAGAGTTAAAGAAAAAATGGTTGATGCCTGGGAACTTACATGAAAGCTGTGTGGTTTGTACACTTCATTTCAAACCCAAAGATTACCGAACAGAGGCTCGAAAAAGGCTGAAATCAGAAGTGATTCCTTCAATCTTGCCAAAGGTTCCTACCTAATATTAAAGCACTCATTTATAAACAACATTATATCGAAAATAATAAGTTAAAACAACAATTCATATTATAACTTATTTTTATGTACCTACCTAATTTCATTACAGATTTTTCCTGATAACAAAAAAAATAATGTGTTAAACGCCTTTAGTTATACGCCTGACTAAAGTCCTTCATGTAAGAAGTTAAAACTTGATATTAATACTAGGCAAAAATCAAAAGAAGAGACATGAAGATGAAGATTAATAATTTAAAGTCACTTTTAGCAGTTTTAAAAGAAAATTGTAAAAATTATGAAAAGGTACAATCTGTCATAACAAACTGTTTCCCAAATATTCATCAGCAATTGAACAAAAATAAATCCAACAAAGGCATGAGATTCTCATAATAAGAATGTCAACTTATGGCAAAGGTCTCACATTCAAGGCCATTGGCACATCTCGCGCTACTCTACGCCATAAATTGCACAAAACAATTTTGAGGTGGATACGTCTATGTTTTCATTCTACAGGGGGGTCATTCTGTGAGCAGGAGTATATGCACTAACGCCATCTATTGGCGTATAAGTGAACTATGCTTGCTCTGCAGGGGGAGGGGCATTCTGTCAGCAGGAGTATATGCACTAACGCCATCTGTTGGCGCTAGTGAATACTTTTTTCATTCAACAAATGAACGCAACGAATATTTATTTATTTAGTGTTTAGTGTCTTCAATTTGTTTTTTTTTTTAATTATTCATTTATAAATGCAATTATGCCACAACGTTGCATAATTCCGGGTTGTTTTGGAGAAGCGAATTGTTCAGTTTTTAGAGTGCCAAAGAACATTGATAGACGTGAAGAGTGGTTAAAAACTATTCGTGATGTGTTTCCTAACCTGGATGTTGGTGAAATTTTTTTTATCAATTACTCATATATCCATTCATACATAGACGTATCCACGCATAAAATATGGCTGTATCAATGATACAGCCAACCAGTTCTTTTTTGTTAAGTAATGTTTAATTTTAAAATGTAAACAATACAGTCATAATAAAATATACTATTTTGATTGTGTTTTATTATTAGGTCTTCCCCCAGTGGGGGGGGGGGTCTGCCTATGAAATTGCTGATTTCCATAGTTTCAAAATTTATTATTGTTGAGTTGAGATTGAATAAGAATTTTTTCTGCTTCATATTAATATTATTCAATTTCAATAATCAATATTTTCTTTTAATGTCCAATGTATTCAGGTAAGAATGGTTACACTACTTAGAAAGGGACAAACCAAGATTTATGACCTCTCACTCGGCGCGTGTTTAGACGCACAGTAAGCATTCTAGTTGTACGTAGTACTTATTAATTCTATGATCAAAGCATATTGTCAAACAGAATATACCGCTGCTTTGGAATAATAGTGTATTATTACCAAATACTACAAAATTGATTTTTAAACACCATTCAACGTAAAATGATCTGTTTTGTATACTTTGTAAAGGTCGTATTTTTATAACAACATTTTATGGCGTGGCGCCACCGAAAGACTGTATCCTATTGGCCAATTATGGCCACCATTTTTTTATAGATAGCGTTGTATCGCCAGTTGCAACTTGTCTTTAGAAGTGAACACTCGGTTGGTTTTCTGGAATATTATCATATTACATAATAATACAGATTTTGAGTGCGCATTTATCTGGAATACTGTATTATTTCAAGATGTGACACAATTGTGTAAAAAAATTTGCAAGCACTTTTAGACACTTCTCATAAAAAAGTGTTGGGATTACTACGTTGTTCTTGAAAAAGTAAATATAACTCAAATGTATTAAATTTAGATATTACTGTTTATAACAAAACATACGGTCGATAGTATTTGTACAATTAAAATTAAAACGTTTTTCTATATAAATTATTTCGTGATTGTAATAGTATTTTACGTAATAAGACTTTATCTGTTAAACAATTTGTCGTATTATTGTACTTGACACAGTATTTCAGATAAAAAGCAACTCGAAAACGCATATATTTTTTTACGCAGCAAGTACAAGACTACTGTTCAGATGACAGCGTTAAGGACCCGGATTACGTAAATACTGATGATTATTATTCCGATTCTGATCATAGTGATTTGAATAGTAAGAAACGCGCAAAACGATTTAAAAGAAATGAGTTTGCCGAAAACATCGATCCCATGATTTCAGTTGCAACAAAAAAATCAGGTCCAAGTCAAATTAGTACGGCCTGTTCTCAGCAAAAAATTGATTATTCAAACAAACCAGATCCTTCAAAAATATCGTATATACCACCTAGTAGTTCATCTAGTTAAAGCTCTTCCACGGACTCTTCTTATAGTTCATCATCGTCTAGCGATTCTCCAGACATGGAAGAGGATGCAGAACAAGTTGAGGAACAAGAGACAGAACAAGTTACAGAAGAGGATACAGAACAAGTTACAAAACAAGACACAGAAAAAGATATAGAAAAATTTACAGAATCAGATACAGAAATGGATAGAGAACAAAATGTAGAATAAGTTGCTGAAAAAGGAGCAGAAAAAGATACAGAACAAGATATAGAAAAAAATACAGTACAAAATACAGAGTCTACGAAAAAAATTGGGCGTAAACGCAAGGTGAACCCTAAGAACTGGATATCTGTAAGAAGAAAAATTTTAAGAAATCATGGCCTATCTTACAAGAATAAACAAAACAAAGTAATTCCCAAGAGAAAATTGAAAACTCCATGTGGAGATAAATTTAAATTTAAAGAGAACATTACAGAATTACAGAGACATGTGATATTTCAAAACTTAGATTCTATCCCGAAAGTTGATAGTCATTACTGCAGAGCAGACACCAAGCGAACATACATTGAAGCGGCAAGACTGTAGCTGATTTACATAGAGACTATGATGCTGAATGTGAAAGTAAAGGTTTACCTTTTGGTAATTATCTAGCATATTACAATATATTTTGTTCCGAATACAATATGGCATTCTTCAAACCTAAAAAAGATCAATGCGAAAATTGTACAAATTATGCTAATGCGACTGAAGAACAAACAAATTATGAAACATGATTATGAACTTCACCTAAAGGAAAAACAACTAGCAAGGAATCAAAAAGATGAGGATAAAAACTATACTCCGGACAATTGTATAATATCCGTTTATGATCTTCAAACTGCAATGCCTTGTCCTAAAGGTGATACGTTAACATTTTATTAACTATCCAAGTTGAACTGCTATAATTTATGATATTAAAAGTACATTTTAGTATTTATGATATTAACAACATTTTAGTATTTATGATATTAAAAACAAAGATGTGAATTGTTACGTATGGCACGAAGGCGAAGCTAAATGTGGAGCTAATGAAATTGGTACCTGTGTACGAAAATACATTGAAAGCTTGGAAGAGACCGCCAAAAAACTTGATTCAAAATTGGACTTGATATTTTACTCAGATAATTGCTGCGGGCAGCAGAAAAAACATTATTTTATCGAAGTAAACATTTTTGTTGTTTATAACCATGATTTTATAAATTCAATTTGTCATAAATTCCTCATAAAGGGTCATACGCAAAATGAGAGTGACAGTTTTCACTCTGTTATAGAGCGTCAAATCCAAAGAAGCCTCAAATCTGGTGCGATCTATACACCTGATCAATACACACAGATAATACGAAATGCGAAGAAGACTGGTACCCTATAAAGTATATGAACTGACCCTTGCCGATTTTTATGATGTCAAAAGTTTAGCAACGACTATATGCAAGAATTTTTCTTAAAATTCAAACAAGCAATCAGTAAACCTTACTGATATAAAAAATTTTAAAGTTGATCCAGACAACACTCAAAATTATGCCTTCTACTACAAAACATCATACGAAGAGGCAAATTTTAATAAAGTTATGGTTGATAAGATAGGGAGAACAAGAAACACACAAAGTAATATAGTTTTGACACAAGCATACAAAAATAAGATGGAAGTGTGTGAAAAAAAGAAACGAGGGTTATTAGGTTTACTTCAGAAGAATACAATTCCAAAATGTTACTCATTATTCTATGAGAATCGTTAGAGTTTTTTACAGGGGCGTTATCGTTAACTGGTCGAAAGATTATAATAATTGATATTAATATATACTTACATAGGTCCTCACAGTAGTCGTAATAATAATATGACACGTTGAAAGTATTTTTGTTGCGTATTAGTAGTGTAAAACTTGCGAACTGATTATTATGATCTCAAAGTGTTATAGTTAGATATTGAGATAGCTTTTTTATAAGCCTGTTCAAAATAGAGACTGATATAAACTCTGTATTGTTCTTAGAATCTATGAAATTCTTCTAATTTTTATGTTGATAAGAGGTACATTGTTCTATTTTGAGCTTTTTGAATTTTTATGTTTTGTTTCCAGAGTTTATAAGATTTTATCCTACAACAATTACTTAATAGACGTTAGCTCTTTTTCAAGATGTTAAACTTTCTCATTTTTCTATTTTTTTTCTAATTTGAATATGTTTATTACTTGTTGTAAATCCAGTAAATACTTTATTTTTCTAAAAAACATGTTATATCACACAGTAAGCATTTTTGTTAAAGAACGACCGAATTGGTACTGTTATACTGTTGATTTAAAATAAATAATGCTAAGATGTCACAACTCAAAATGTATAGTAATCTTCGTAAGTTTGTCTGTGTTATTTTGTTATAAGTCTGGGACCTAGTGGTCATTTCCAATATTCAGTACTAATTAAGTATTATTTTCTTAAAAACATATAATAAACATAAACTGCAATATATTTTTCGTGTTTTATTAAAGTTTCATCAACATTTGCGCAGTAAATAAAAAAATACAGCATTTGAAGATTTTGAAAAAACTTTTAAGTGCTCTACTGAAAAATTCACTCAATTTGAGTTTCGACAGTATCCTTCCAAAGCAGCGATACGTAGTATCTTCTTCTTAGTCTGTGCAGAATATAAACCAAATAAAACAGCAAGAAAAATAAAACGGTGTTTCCTACGTTTCTTACTTACTCTATGGAAGCAAAGAGTAAAGTATACCTATAAATTACATTATATTAATTTCAATCATGAAGGTCTAGAGAAATTATCGTTATGTGAAAAACTTTGAATAATAATGTTAATATCATAAATTGTCAGTATTCGATATAATGAAACTCACAGCTGTAGTACAAACAGGTAGGTGTATATCTTGTTTTGATAATAGCTATACAATTAAAGACAATTTGTTGAAAGTACTTTTAATATACTAGGCATTACAAGTAATTTATAATGTAATATGTTTTGCATTATTCTTTTACGATGGAATGTATAAGTTCGTATTATAATCTCCAAAAAAATGCAAGGCTTAAAATATAAAACAGTAAATAAATCTAATCTCTGTAAAAAATATCGAGATATCTGAACCCAATTCATGTAAGATTGTGAGGTGATAAAGCAGTAAAGAGAACATCTGATATAAGATGTTATAAATATGGCTCGTGTCTCATGCAAGCCAAGTCTCTTGTTCGTTGTTTGAAGAACGTACGAACGAACGCACTACGCACGAAGAGATCTCAAGCTACTCCGTGCTTTGGAAGGTACATTATGATCATCTTCCCTAACAATCCATGAGGGAGGCCTGGCGAGAACGTAAAAATAGCTAATTATGATGATTATACTCTAATAAACCGATGAATGTGATCATGAATATATTTCGTATCCAACTTAATAGAGGAAGAAGAACCGCAACCAAAGGAAGAACAGAAGTATGTACCTCCATACGGTACTTTAGCATGGATCCACTACTGGAGTGAATTCGAAGGACATCTACCCACTCCCATAGATGTATCCATAACGAATGCCATCAAGTATCCTTGCTCTGAGCTAAAGTGGTACAACTTTGACGTCTACCCTCACAAAGTCAAGATGACCAATACTGGTTTCACTGGTAATTATTTAAAACCATGTTAAATCAGTTTTCTTAAGTAGTTGTTTGCTTCGATAGCTTGATGAACTGTTATTTGTACTTTAAATAAAAACCAAAAGATCTTGTACTGGAATTACATTTATCAAGACGACATATTTTTTAATAACAAGTTGATTGCTATCTTTGTACCTTTTTAATACTTTCTTTTTAAGGAGTCAAGAAAGGAGGTTGATATACTTTAAGGATAGGTTATATATAACGAGAACAGTAGTCTAACATTTTATGGATAGATTTATGTTAAATAAATATCGTTTGATAATGTCGTTTATTAATCTGAACCCCGTTGTCATGACTCCGTAATGCTTTAGGCGGCGAAATAGTACGTATTTTTATAAAAATATTATAAAAAGCAGGAGTATTTATCTATACAAAAACACAGTATAACTTAGCTACTAAAGTCAGACATTACAAGCTACTAATATTTACTATAGCTATGCATAGTATCACAAAAGAATGATCGATTATTTACCAAAATATATTATAAAAGGTAACTTTAATAGAACACTCTTTTTAGGTAACAGTATGGTCTTAAATGGTTTTTTTTTATTATTATTATCAATAAACATATCAACATTGAAAACATACTATGCATAGAGTTTCGTAAGGGTTTCAAAAGTGCGCGAATAGGATATTTTAATTTATTATATCTAACACCACTAAATGTACTCAACAACTTTTGTTTGAAAGTATGAGTTTAAGGGTTTAAAAGGGTTTATTTTAAATGGAAAGTGCAAAAGCATTGTTGCTGCAAATTCATAAATACTGAGGGGTCACGAACTCAGATCATACCTTATCACATCCATAATAGACTTCAAGATATCAATATTTAATAAATGTTCGTGTTTTTATCAAATATAGCGAATATTAAAAAGAAATCAGATAAACTAACTCTTAAATATTCATTGTAAGGTCTACAGGAGGCTGTTACATAAACTAAACTTTTTTATTTGATCAATTTTTTATTCAAAATGCTATACTGGAAAATATTTTGAATGAAAAATTCTTAAAAACTATCAGCCTCTGGTAACAGAGTACTGGGCTTATGGATTTTTCAAGTATTTTTCAGTAAGAATAAACTAAATCAATAAAAAGTAGAAGAATTTCACAGTCGAGCAACGCAAAGCAACGTTTTATAAATTGGTACTATGACAGTGAGCCTTAAAGTATAGATTTTGAGTATCTTACCACTCGTCAATATATTAAACCTATATAAGTTTGTTAGTATATTTTTATGTAATTCATATTTTCAGTCGTTATTGGAACAAAATGGAAAACCGAGCGTCCTTATTTAGAGGGAGGTATATTTTTAGAGAAGCACGTTCTCTCGCAAATTCACTTCCATTGGGGCGCAGATATGACTGAAGGCAGTGATCACACAGTTGACAAACGACGTCACCCCGGGGAAATGCAGGTTGTACAATATTGTTATATCAGCCATAAAAAAAATCTGTCTCTCTGTTATATTTTCTCTTTACTAGGTAACACTTTTCTGACTACCGAAGCTGATATTACCCGAATAGATATTAGACGGAAATATATACAGCACCTGCTTATACAATCGTTAACAACCACCAATCCGCCCGGGCCCGCGGGGTAGGTCATGGTCCATTTACCCTATTTGATTTGTTTGGATTCCATTTATAGGGAAGGCCCGAGCTCCAGTAGTGGATACATTAATAGGTAGTGATGGTGATGATGTGATATGTATTTATTTATTTTTTCGCAAATGAACCTTCTGTAGCTTTGTTATATTGAGTATTCTATGGTAGAATATTAACGTTATAAAAGCTGCAATATACTTACCTATGTATCGGAGAGAAGGGTGTTTATCGATTGACATTTTTGCCTTTCTAGGTAACTTACTTCAGATCAGAATACATGAACCAAGAAGAAGCTTTACGGCACCCCGACGGCGTTGTCATGGTTTGCTATCTCATCAAAGTGAGTGGTTACATGAGTGTATTAATAAATAATGCTTTTGTATTATCAAGTATTCCTCGTAAGTACCTATTTGAAATAGGTGCACCTCTTACTTTATGATTTAGAGTCAAAAAGACACAAACGAAACATATTTGATGATAAAAAATATATCAACTAATATTAAATATGTGAGTGAGGATGAGTGATTGAAACTGTCACGCAAAAATTAAGTACTTAACGGATTTTTATGAGATTTGATCTATTGATATTCGAATCCCGTGTGTCAGTTCAAAACATTGCATTTCATTAAATATTTTGAACGTTAAATACAGTATTGAACAAACCATGATGATTGCATTAGAGATTAAAGCCGATATCAAGGAACTCGGTGTAAGTTTAATTACGCGGTAACGCAGTGAAGTCAATTTCCAATGAATATTTATTGCTTAATCTTATTCTATTCTGTGATTCATAGAGTTTGTATTCACTGTATATTTTATAGCCCCTATAAATTGGGGTAGACACCCATTAATATTTATGTAACTCGGTACGTTCAAACATCTGTCCTCAGATGAATTTTACCGCATGAAATGTTTGCGTGTGATGTCTAATTAGCAGCTAAAGTGTTTCCGAATTTCATTTGTTTTTAGAATTAATTTTGCAATAACAATTTATATTCATGTTAACAGTGCCGGACTAAGCCAAAGCAGCGCCTGTAGCAATTTTTTGAGCCCCACACGGTTTGTTTGTGATTAATTAAGTGTACAATTGAAATAAAACAAAATTCTTACACACTTTTCTTGATTTGTAACATTTCATTGTAAAAGTTACGCCAATATAACTGTTCAGAATCAATTGACTTACAATGTTAGTATCAGCACGCGCCATTTTTGAGGCTTAACGATAAAATAACGGGGCATCATGGTTTTTCGCTTTTCAAAAAATTGTGGGCATTTTTTCAATCACCTAATATATATTTCCTGATGACGATGACGAATAATCGGAATCTATAACTTTGCAAACGAGAGGGAAAAGTCGTCTTTTGCTTTCCGAAAAACACAACACATTGAATCTGTGACTTGAGTATATTTGTCAGTTTATGTTTATACTTTAAAATATGAGATTAGGCAGAAGCGTGGTTTATTTGTTACTTCTTGTATTTTTTAACACTGACAGAAAAATAAATTTATTGGTCAGGGACCCAAAGCGCGGAACCCCCAAATGCACGGGGCCAGTAGCGTTTGCTACTTTTAGTACGTGGTTAGTCCGGCACTACATAATGATGATAATCTGCAAAAGAGTTATATATATCTTATTATATTTCAAACATAATTTTCGCCAGTTGCCAAGCGGTTAATCCAATAACATATCTATATATGCATACTAGCTTTTGCCCGCGACTTCATCCGCGTGGTCTAGTTTTAAGTCTAGAAATGAGAAAATTCCATAAAAACTTTCATCCCCTAATTTACCCCAAATTTTGGGAAGGGGCAAATTACGTAAAATCCAGTCTTAGTGCACGCACCTACATCCTTTTAAATGCTTGCACTTGTACGAAGTTTCATACAAACATTAATGCCCCAATTTAGCCCCTTCGAGTGGAATTTTAAAATATCCTCTCTCAGTGCTCCTCTACACTCCCTAAGGAATCTTATTCCAAATTTCAACTTTCTACGCTTACTTGTTTCGGCTGTACGTTGTATGTCAATCACTCAGTAACGCAAGAATGCTATTTAAATATAGGTAGATAGAATCAGTTTTACTCCGTCTATTATAGCCGATTCTCTCCGAAACCACTTAATCGATTGAATTAAAATTTTGGTACACATAGGTAAGACAAGTCAGTGTCCAAAAGAGAGCCATATAAATAAATAAAAGGCATAAAATAAAATAAAAAAAATGCGATGCTTTCAAATATATCTATAAAATGGAATAGTTTTGTAGTTACTTTGAAATTTTTCCGTCCTTCGCAATTTACGAATACTGTGTCTATCTTCAAACATAAAAAATATCTACAGACAGTCGATAGCACGTCAGACTGTAAAAAAATATTAAATGTCCCCACTTGACTTTAAACTTTATTATAATGTAGGGAGAGTACTAATTTAGTTAAAAAAAGATTAGGGTCCGTTAAGATCTTTTCAACCCTGAAAATAACTAAAATTTTTGGTTGGTTGATCGCATGTATAGAATTTTTGTGTTTAAATATTTCAGAACATGTATATAAGTTTTTATTGAATATTTCGGGCTTTTAAAGAACAAACAAGTTTTCATCACCATCAGCTCTTTTACGTCCTCACAGCAGAGATCCTGACCCCCCGAGGGCCCAATGCGGATTGGAGGCTATTAACGACTGCAAATGCAGCCAGAACCAACGGCTTAAAGTGCCTTCTGAAGCACGGACTAGCTCGAGATGATAATTTTTTTGGTCACCCATCCCGAGACCGACCCTTGTAAAAGTTGCATAACAACAGCATTCGCGAACTGTGGCGCTTATCCACTATGACACCGAGCTAGTGAAAATAAAAATACAAGTATTAATACACGATAATTTAATAGATGCAAACAACCTCATATTTGAGTGACTTTCAAGCACCTGTCAGGGCCGGAAAAGCCCCTATTGACATATTATGGTAGCCTAATGTGTAGCCATATTACAACGTAAATTTATTTACGGAATCGGGTAAAATTAAAAAAAAAGCAGTGAAAAAAAGAAAAAGAAAAAAGTTCATAAAGTTCACATTAAAACTTATTAGAAGTATATAGTTTTTGTTTCTAAATCAGAATAAAAACCAGAAAGGCAAGTCAAATGTTTAATCAAAAGATGTGTGTTGTGGTGTGATTACAGTATGGAGTTCTCCCAGACGACCGTCTCAGTTGGGTCATAGAGGGCTTCCCGAGAATCCGCGAAGCTAAAACCAATACTCGTATAGGACCTTACCCGATGTCTCATCTGATGCCTATGTTTCACGAAGATTACTTCGTTTACTGGGGCAGTTTGAAGACTGTAAGAGGAGAGAGCTATATAGTCAGGTGGCTTGTTCCTAGGATAACACTAAGTGCCTCCTTTGAGCAGGTGAAACAAAGTAATCAAATAAAAAATCAACTCCATAGCTACTCATTCAAAAACAAGCAAATCTAATGACGATCAGAGCCAAAGAATATTATAAATAAAATCGTTAACGGAGTAATTAAACTGTATATATAAAAAATCAATTACTTATCTTAGGAGTGTTTATGACCATTATCTTCCGCGTGTCCATTAACTAGTTGCCTAATAGATTTCAGTTTAGTTTCGACCATGTGAAACCGTTGAATTTACTAAATATGTGAATGAAAAAATATTAAGTAGGAAGGTATGCAGTCGTACTGAAAATCTACTTTTTGAAATTGAGTTGGTGACAGAAGTTTGAACCCAGTATAATCTCATCAAACAATTCTATTGTGCAATGTGAATGTTAAGAAACAAAATATCTACCTATTAAGGTTGAACATAAAAATACTTAGTTGTAATATCTAGACAGAGTCGGTTTTACTGTGACTAGAGAGTTAGACGATCGCACCCCCATACAGGTAGCATGACAAACTCGAGAAATGCTTTGTTTAAACCAAACGTCACTTTTCTCGGGTCGATTATAAGATATCCTATGGGCGCATCCGAGAAAACTCACATTTGCGTGTTAATCAAAAAAATCTCGAGTGAGTTGTCATGCTACGCGTGCTGGTTGCCCTATATCTACTAATTTCTACGTATTACTAATTTTAGAACTATGTATGGTTAATTAAATATAGAAAGGTTTTAAGTAGTATGGTACATAAGGCGATTTTTGTAGATGAAAGAATTTCGTAAATTATGGAATCCATGGGACGAGCCCAATTTACGCAACTTCAGGCCTCTTCAAGAGCAACAGGATCGCCACGTGTTCTTCATCAGCCCTCATTGGAGTCAATACAACTCATTGTTACCAATACCACGGGTACCAGAGCCTTCTATATCGGTTTTATCGCCTGCCTACCAAGCTAACTTATGGATGCTACCACCGCAGAACGCTTACATGTTGCCGGAGCCTGAGCCAGAGGAGCAGGAAGCAGTAGTAGAAACTGAAGAAGAATAAGTAGCTTGGTACACATTTTTTACCCACATAAATTTCAAACCATTTTGTTTGTAAATAAAAAGAAATTTTTAATTAAATATGTCAATAGCTATGATATTATGTACGTATATATGTATAAATTTATTGTAATAATTTAAATAGGACTAAACAGATTTCAGTGATTTGTAATGTGATGCATGTGGCATCATCTATAATGTATTCATGGAACCGTAATTCATAATTTGTATCGAAATAAAAAAATTCAATCGACTTCAATAAACATCGTATTAAAGAGAAAGTACTGAAAAGAGATAAATAATACCACATTTTTTTATTTTCAATAAAACCGAATCACAAAAAACACCCACAAAAGTTTTTTTATGATAGAAATTATCACTGATCCATTTTACTTACTTCTAATTTATATATAATAAATGGACACCTTTGTCTGTGTGTAAACGCACTTATACTTCATAGTAGCAGTTCTAACCTAACCTAACCTACGATTTTGGTAACAATCCGTTACTTAAGTCATTTACTTACCATGTATTATTTTATTTTCTTTTAGTTGAAAAATAGTTAAACAAAGAAAAAAATATCATTTCGATCTAATGTCTAATTTACGAGAAATATGAGGTCAAACATATTATAGAAACACATACATAATATACTTCTACAAAATGTAGAACACGTGTTTAGAAGCGTTTATAAATTAACATATCGGAATATTGAACCATATTCCAACAAAATTACATAGGTGCATGCAGGTCAAATTGAGAACTCTTTTTTTTATTAAGTCTAATAATAGCGCACACACACACATACAAATAAACTGGGCCTCCTTTTGTTTGAAGTTAGTCAAAAAGAAGGTTATCAATTTTAACTGCTTTTATAAGTCGGTTAATCTTTTATTCCTTAAAAAAGTAGCTTAAATTTCAATAGTTTCTTTCTTCTAAAATAGGGTAAGGTGGGGCACAGTGTGACAAAAACGATAAATCGTACTATAAATCTGAAAATATTTATTAAAGGAATTTTCTATTAGTCTTAAAATAATCAACAGTTCTTAAACTATCATTTGACAACGAAAAACAATACCAAAAATAACTAGAAGTAATTTTAAATTGCACATTTTTGAGATCTTTCGATTGTCACAGACTGCCCCGGATCCGGGGTACAATGTGACATACTATGGGGTACTTTGTGACATTACTTATTCTAGGAACACTTTTTTATAATAATAAGATTTATTTACCATTATACTTCATTAAAATATTTTTAGGAGAAATATAAAATTCAGCTTGTTGTTTTGTAGGTTTTTTGCACTTTTCAAGCTCTGGTAAAACAATTTCCACATCTTCTATTTCAACTACCGCCAAATCTGGCACAAGCGGGAAATAAAAACTGTTATCAACCTTATTGATTTTATGAAATAGCTTACATCGTAAGAATCATCTTCATTGCTTTTCAAGAGTTGTGACATTGTCACATAGTGCCCCGTCACACTGTACCCTATAGGCTTAAAAAAAGCAAACAATCATAGAAAATAATTTATAGGTTACGATACCGGCAAACTATCTACGCGTATTTATCTACAAATACATGGCTTTTCAAGAAAAAAAAAAGGTTTACTTACATAAGTACATCAATCAACACCTTAGAACGAAAACAATACCAGTATTGTACCGTTTAACAGCCAGCAGTTTATAAGAAAAAAATAGGCCAAAACACATTTTTCTTTAAATTTCTGCAGCGTGCAAATAAGAATCCAATTGACAAGTGTTCCAAGGTGGCATCTGATGCGCTTATCTGAAATGTGTCTAAGCGATAACGATATGCTAAAAAGAGACGGAGATATTGAGAGTGTCACACTGTGCCCCTTGTCACACTGTGCCCACCAAACCCTACTGAATCGATTTTAATTAAATAAAAAGTGTACCCTAAGTTGAAAGCTAAGCAATTAAACAGAAAAGGAATCGTAGCACGTTTTCGAAATCACGACGTAGCTTTGCAAATAACCTTTCCTTATGATTTTGTATGTTTCTCTCCCTCATATCATAACATAACTACGTTAAACTAGCGCTTAGCGTTTTAATTTAAAACGCTAATCGTACTTAGCGCTTATCGCTGTTAAGTATGTAAACGTTAGGGCGTTAAAAATGCGTGTTAACGCGCAACGATCATTAGCGCCCGAGGCCAAGCGGGCAGTATTCGCGTGGGCTCGAACGGTAATGAACTTGGATTATCGTGAAGGTCCGAATGTTAATGAACGCGCTAACTAATTATTCTCGTTGCATGTTAAATATGATCGCGCTTTATTTACTGCTTGTTTTAATGCGTTTTCGCGCAATCATTTTATTATGTACTTAGAGAGTTAATAAATTAACGCATTAATTAACACGCAAATTTTTCTTAACATGTAGTCTTCAGCGTGTTAATGTATTTTAGTCGTTTTGAACAACTCTAATTTGAGTATTGTTTTAGTATGCAAGGCGTTATCTAGTTGTATTGTTGATCGAAGGACTTTTGACTTTTCTCTAACGGCATCACTATTAGCTGGAATAACATATACCCCTGGACATACATATATGCTGGAATAACATTTGTAGTTGTCCAAATTCTAAAATATTCAAGACAACAATGACAACTATGTTGTCTCGTCAGCTTTAAGAAATCATTTCTATGCTTATGGCGTTAGACTTACACCCAGTTGCACAATCGTCCATTAAAATTAATCAGTATGCCGATATCAGGCTTATACCCGGCGGTTATTAGGATGTTAGAGGTCGATATTGATAAAAATCGGCTTACTCGGAAAATAACATTAATATAATTAAAACTAAGAAAGTATCCGTGATTTCTGCAAATGTAATAATTATATTTCATTATCTCGTTTCTCAAAAAAGGCATTACAAGAAAGCCAAAGAATGACAAGCAGTCAAAGATCAAAAGAAAATGTTGTCATGGCTGATAATGGGTGCCTCCACTAAACACGTGTAGTAGCTTCACTTTTCCATTATGAATTGTTTAGGCTTAGACATAATACTATCATTATTGAACACGACAAATTTCAGTAGTAGTAGTAGTAATTTAGTCCATGGGACAGGTGAAGGAACTAAGCCACGACAAATTTCATAAATTCTTGATTCGTAGCGACATCTAGTTTGATTTCGAGAACTATTATGTTTATGATGTAAGTAGTTGTAGCTTGTTTCTTGTTTGTATTAATGAAGTATTATACAATATACTAAAATAGTATTATAATTTGAGTGTTATGTCTATAAAAATATAATATTATTATGTTGATTGAAACGTTAAAATAAAAGCTCAGCTGATATCTGTCATTCAGCTGTCAAACTGACAGATACTGGGAAAGTAAACTCCACTCAAAAAATAACCTTGAATAAACAGTTTTCCATTTTCTTTAGTCCGTGCTCGAGAATGTTAAGGAATATACTTCGTACCAGCCGTTGGCTGGCACGCAAACGAATCGATATTGGGTCTCCAGTTAACATTCGTTATATATCTTGTGTTCGATGCCCACAAATTACATATTACTGGGCCTCATCACTCAAGTTTTCTACGTCTCCATCAGATAAATTAGAAACTACTGAACATATTGACCCGGCAGTATTTGAGGAAATCTGCAATGAAACGTTAGAATCACTATGTGAATATTTTGAAGAAATAGTCGACCAATCGCCTAGTTTAAAAGGTGCTGATGTAACATACAGTGTAAGTACATGTTGAATATCTTTCAATAGAAGTCAGGATGATGTTCCTTCTCTATGATGAGTGAGCAAAATCAATATTGCAGATGTTGCTGAGTTAATTGTGATGGCTTCATTTTTCAATGTTTACACAACTGCTTATTAGTAGTTTTAATTGAGTAAATGATATTGGATTTTAAATTTACTAATGTTCACTAGCTTTAGTGCTGGCTGTCCCTTTTGTACCACTTTAGTCGGTTTTGGTTAGGATACAGGTATCTGCTATAAATGTTAATTACAATATTTAAGTTGATTTTGTATGTTTTGGTATGTGAATATTAGAATATCAATTTTGTGAAATATTAAAGAATAAAAATAATTAAAGTTATAATAATCCTACACTTTGCTATTAATGCAGATCATAATTATTTAATTTAGATAATAAATATCTAGAACTAACATAAAAAAAATACATAGTTCCTAATACTATATAAAAAATGTTAAGTATAAATAGCTGACTGTAGAATGATTACTTTTTCAGGATGGGGTTTTGACTGTTGCACTAGGACCACAACATGGAACTTATGTAATAAATAGACAAACACCAAATAAACAGATTTGGCTCAGTTCGCCATTATCCGGCCCAAAACGCTATGACCTAGTTCTCAAAGATGGAGGCTACTGGATCTACAAACATGACGGTGTCCCTTTACATAGGCTTTTACAGGATGAAATATCTAAACTAGTTGACATTGAAATAGAATTCAATAAATGTGCACATAGCTTAATATAATTTATTTTTACTGAAAGTAAATAGGTTTGCTATTAGATTTTAGTTTTATTTTAATTATAACAAGATGGAAGTGATTGAAGATGGAAATATTATGGACAGAATTCCAATCCTGCTTCAAAGGGATTTGGAATATTATCAGGTATGTAATTATAATATGAGAAATAGTAATATAGAAAAAGACAGTAAACAAATATTAGATAGTAGTTGAGGACCTTCATGGCACTGTATTACACTTTTAAAACACATTTGCATAGGCTAATCATAGGATGGGTGATCAAAAATTTATAATCTGAAGCTCCTTCAGTAAGCACAATAAGCCATCATTTTGAATTACTTCAATCAAATTTGATTTTTCTCTATAGTAAAAACATTTCTATTTAGGTTGAATAACTATCAGCAAGTTGCAATAATGTCCACTCAATTTGTCATTTGTTTAAAGTGACATTACCAATACAAATTGCTGGTATTTCTACTACTTTCTGTTTCTTATTGCTTTCTTTTCTTAGCGGCAATTTCATCTGTATTTCTATGGGTGATTTAGGTATTTTTCATGATCTCACTAAAGAGTTTTCAGAGCAATATTTAATACTTCTGTGGGTAACATATTTTTCCTTTTTTCATTCATATATCCTCAAGCATTTTATAATAATAATAATATTTGATCATAATTTATTGCAGTTACATACAAAGCTTATCAAAATATTTATATTGAAAGTATTATTCAATAAAAACTAAATGACTCTAAATTACAAATTTGTTTTTATTAGGAATTTATTTATTAAATAATGTGATCGTAGAAAATCAACGTGAAGATACGATAATTTCAGGCAAACCAGACAGTTTTGTCAGAAACCATTTGTCCTAGTGTAGTTGGAGGAAGATTGGATTTTCCTCGTAATGCCTCATTTGCTTCTGTGAAAATCGTACTATGGCTGGAAGAAGAATTCACAATTGCATTCAAGTAAGTTAGCTTAGAGCACGCGCAGTAGTTAGCGCGTTCGGTTTGCGGAAGTTAAGCAATTATCGCAAGGGCTATCCATGTGATGGGTGACCAAAAATTTAAAATCTCGAGTTCCTCTGTGCTTCGAAATGCATGTTAAGCTATTAGTTTTAGATGAATATGCAGTCGGTGACACCCACCAATCTGTATTGGGCCCACATGGTGGATCATGGCCCAATCTCCCTATTCGATTCCATCAATAGAGAAGGCCTGTGCTCTTACAGTGGGGAAATTAATAGGCAGATGATGAAGATTATGAGCAAGTTTTTTATGGGTATAGATTAAACAAATCTGATTTTAATACATGTATTTTGTAAGAAAAAAAAAAATTTTATCAACTCCAGTTAATCTATATTTGTTTATTATATGTCACTAATATTAAATAAAAATTCGATTAAATACTAAAAAAAATCAATACATCCCATTTGAAGGTTACTATTACAGTTTTATGAGTATCGCTTTGTGCGAGCATAGTTTAAAAAGGTTAGAATATTGTTACGCTGTTAGAACACCGACGCATTCGCTTGCGAAAGCGAACCATCTCAGAAACTATTGGGAATGCAAAACATCTGCGTCTGTGTAACGACGTTTTTCGCAATTGTATCCGAAACACTACAAACAAGGACGCAGCTATATTGTCGAGCTAATCAAAGAGCGAGACAAAGCACATGCAAAACATTGCCAAGCAACTCACAAGTTTTTTGTTGTTTCGCTTTCGTACGCGATTGCGACGGGTGTATTAACGGCGTAAGAACTAAGATTTTATATATATTTTTTATAATTTTACTTTTACAGACACGGCTCTGGTATGTTTGTCACAATAGAAGATGAGGACAATGGTGGAGTAGCAAAAACTTCTGATCCTGATAAATTTGTTCAATTAGCCATTAAGTCGAGTGATTCATTACTTGGTATGTTCTCATCCCATTTTAAATTTTGCGTTTGTGTTTTATTATTTTAAATAATTTAAATAGAATTACTTAACTATACTCTTTTCTATTGTCATTGCTCTTGACGGTACTACAGACTTAGACCTTGTACCTGTCTAAAAACCTAGGATTTTAGATTCTCCAAAGTCGACAGCTTGAGCTCATCTAATTGGTCATACTCTGTACTTAGTACTATAAGTCTTTTTCACATAGAATGGGTACTGTGACGTTTGGAATTCAAAAGTTTATAGCAAATGTGGTAATAAATAAATAAATGTATATATACATACAGAAACTCGATATTATTGAAATTACTAATACAAATTAACTTGATTATTCATAAGATAACGCTAATATCCTTGCTCTAACACGTATCTTAAATTATTCTCTGACTTCTGGCTCCTTTTCTGACCTTTGGCAAAAGGCATATGCTATTCCTCTTCCCAAAATTCCCAACCCCTTGCTGTATGAGTCATTATAGACCTGTCTCGATCCTATTATTCCCCTCTAAGGTGCTTGAGGCCGCTGATCACATAAATATTTCCCGCTTTATCTTTCACAATCAACTTCTCTCCCTTTTCAATTCCCATTTTTCCACCCTGAACACAGCACTACTACTGCTCTTCTTAAGATAACTGAAAATATACGCGACGGTATGGAGGGCTCGAGACTAACAGTGTTGTAAATTAAAATACACATCTAATATGTATACACATAGTGAAACTATTTTTTATAACGATTGTTTTTAATTATTTGGAATTGCAAATTACGTGAAATGGTTTTGTTAAGAAACGTCATCGTACCCGTGCTATGTGAAACGGGCTATAGACCTCGTTATCGAAGGTGCAATTTAGTAGTTGGAGGTATCCATAAAGAAGGCCCGAGCCTCTGCAGTGGAGACTTGAAAGGGCTGATAATTAATTATAGATCTTTTTTCTTCATTCTCAGCCCTGTTACGTCCCCGCTGCAAGGGCTCAGGCCTTCCTTATGGATGGTTAGGGCCCATAATCTTCCGTGCTGGCAGTATTGGAAGGTTTTAACGGCTGCAAATGCTGCCGGCACCAACGGCTTAAAGTGGTTTCCGAAGCACGAAATAATAATTTTTGGTCACTCATCCCGCGACTGATTCTTGCTTAAGTTGCTTAACAACAATTTATGCGGGCTGTGACGCTTATTCACTACGTAAATAATCATTTTAGTTGGTTTTAGAGCATCTCCACATGTTGGCTCAAGAGGCACTCGATCATGCTGACTTGCCAGTACTGACGGCTACTCTTGGTGCCGCAGCTTTGCTCAAAAATACTCTGTTTTGTTACCTTCAGCATGCCGAAGACATGGCTAGCGCAGAGAGCCAATCCTTATTGCAGGCAAGTTGTTAGATAAATCAGCGTGTAGTTAATTTTGGCTTGAAATGAAAAATTAACATATGAAATAATAAGCAGAAATGCCTCTTTTATGTTTTTTTTTGTTTTTTTTTTCATATTAGATAACATTACATGCATTATGTACATTTGAGTAGCTGCTAGCTTCATCTTATGGAGTAGCTGAGATAAAGGTATCACAACAACCACACCCGAGACAATATAGAAAATTTCATTTTCGTCATTGACCCGATAGGATCCCTTTCAAAGTCATAGCGTTTGTGATAGATATTTATGGAATTCTGTAACGGCTAAAGTCGCAACTTGTTATTATTTTCTTTATTTTAATTGTTCTCGTTTAATTGCTCAATAAATAGTTGCTTAATTTTAAAATGCCTTAGGTATTTATTTAATCTTAAAATTAATACTTTTTTAAATAAATTTCCAGAAAAAGCTTTGCTTTGAAACAGACACCCGGTGTAGTAAAAGGCCTGATTTTATTGTCCACCAGTGTATTTGTATATTGGACGTTATACAATTGTTAAAATTTATACTAATATCATAAAGAAGAAATATTAGATTTTCATTTGTATGTATGTTTCCATCGAATATGCTCCGAAGCTACTGGACCGATTTTAATAATTCTTTCACCTACGGATAGCTACATCATACAGGGTTGACATAGGCTATGATTTTCGCGAGCGATATCGCGGTACAACAGCTAGTATTAAATAAAGAGCAAAGATTTTGGTTTATTTACTTTATTTGGTTTAGTAATTCAACATAGACATGACATTGCACAATAATATTCTCTAGGAATGCACATTTACTAAATTACAGTGTATTTCACCATTGAGACCCCCCTCTCCACGCATCTCTGGCTCGTCCAGAAAATCCGCCTCTGTTACCGTTTGTGATAGATATTTATGGAATTATGTAACGGCTAAAATCACAATCGCTTTTGGAACGAATGATGATTTGAATGATCGAGAAACATAATAAAAATTTAGCTGAATCTGTTTCAAACTGCAGTAAGCATTCAACTTTCGTTTGAAGTTTTTCAATAGTTTTTAAAGTAATGTTTGCATTTAACGCTTACCTAAGACAATTCTAATTAACGATATAGTTCATTTAATCGCTATTATATATCAAATCCACGAACGTCACGATATAGCTTATTGTGACGTTCGTGGATATCTTTAAATTATTATATTGAAAGGGATTGTGGTAGATTTTAAATTAGATAATTAGGCCCCGAACCTGAAGCAGTCCACTTAGGAGGTTAATATAAAAAATATTGAAAAGAATATTACTTAATGAAGTGAATAAAATAATCAAAGTAATTGTTAGAAAACTAATAATATTAAATACGATGACTCTGAGCTAATTTGCTATATAAATGATAGGTACTAAAGATTCCCTTTAATTAACATCATCGAATCAATCGCCCTTGATTCTAATTCTGCACCATAAATACTGCTGAACTTTATGCCGTATTTTTATAATCTCTTAAAATGTGAGAAATATTTAGGATACAAATTCATCGGTTAACTAATTAAATACTTAAAAACATACGCTATCGTGTAACAAAAATATAAATTTTTGGAATATTAGTCGATGCTCTTTCTCTCCATTTTTTTCAATCGTATAATAGTGTAAAATCTAAATTTGATAGTGACAAATCTACATACTGAATTCCGCTGTCGACCATTAGTGGCCTATTGGATATAAGACTCAAAAAGATACTTTAATTTTGAATAATTTTGACATATTAATATTGTGTCTTCAGGCCTGTTACAAACGTTACGTGAGCATGTCGGAAGCAGTCGCCGAAAGAGTTCTGGACCTCCACAACCGCGTTCTATCTTTGTACATCCTGCAAGACTCCGGAGGAAGACCGGTGGAAGGTGACTCTCGTGGTCCTCATCACGCAGGGACGCCTTCCGTCCAAGGCTGGTGGCTATATATGAATGGTCAGTCTTTTTATATACTATAGTACCTTCAAAGGAGATTGGTAGATTGTGACTCCAGTATTTATTTAGTGTTTGTACATAATCGACGGAAGTAGCGTCGCATACCAACGGTTGCGGAACAACAGAACAGGAAATTACAATGACAGCCAAATATAAAGAATAGGATCGGTAGTCAATCAAATCAAATTATTTATATAGAGTACTAGCTTTTGCCCGCGACTTCGTCCGCGTGGTAAAGTTACTTTCAGAAGAATTTATCAAAATCCAATTTGACGACTTCAAACAGTGGACGACTTCATCATAGTAGCTCCAATCTTTAAGTTCAGTACAATCTAAGAAGATTTATACAAACTTTCATCCCCTATTTATCCATTTAGGGGTGGAAAATAACAAAATCCTTTCTTAGGGGATGCTTTCGTCATAGTAGCTTTATGCATGCAAAGTCTCAGCCCGATCGGTTTATAAATGACAAAGTTTCATACAAATTTTTATCCCCTATTTTATCCCCTTGGGGGTAGAATTGATCAAAATCCTTTCTTAGCGGATGCCTACGTCATAACATCTACATGCATGCCAAATTTCAGCCCGATCCGTCCAGTGGTTTGGGCTGTGCGTTGATAGATCACTATGTCAGTCAGTCACCTTTGAGTTATATATGTATATATTTAGATATAGTGATTGTAATAGCGAATTATGGAATTATGTGACGTTTAAAGTCGTCATAGCTTTCTAAACGAACTATAATTTGAACAATCAGGAAACTGCATAAAATCTTAGTAACTTAAGCCTAAATTAATATTTGACGTTAATTGGAATTTTTTAAAGCAAATTTTTATGCTTTAGTAAATTCCAATTAAAGTCAAATTAGCGATATCGTTCATTCAAAATCTTTAATGCAAACGTCGTTACCAATTTTTTGCAATATGAAGTGAAAGCATAATGCGAATCAAGATGCTGTTTGACAGCAATTTTCTTATTTGACACGCATAGTTAATGATTACATTGAACTGTAGACGAATAATTTGTCGCGTTTTAGAAGATCATTTAGTGTCTGTTTGTAATAGCTTATCCAATAAGGGTTAACTTAGGCTACTTTCACGCAGACAAAGCCGCGGGCACAGGTAATTGATTTATTTATTTGAAATATGACTACGCACTTGATTTTATTTTACCTATTTTTATATCTTAGGTACCCGAGATGGGATTTGAATCCGTATTCGATTCATTAGGTCATGGAATGCAAATATACTAATTACAAAACATCCTAATATGGATAATGCGCACGAACGTCTTAATTTTGTTTTGCATGAAGTGTTTCGTTTGCTTGGGTGAGTGATTCGCATGAAGAGGCACGTGTTCTGACGATAATAATTTCTGTTTGTTTCTCAGGTAGTCGAAAAGACTTGTGGAATACAGTACCTCCGAGAATGGCACAAAGAATTTTTGCTGGCATGCTCAACGAGACACTCACAATTTTAACTGTCAGATATTGCCAGGTAATTTTTTTTCAAATGTTTAAACTCTCAATTTTTTCCGCGAATGTAAATATTATGAGCACACAAATATTTGATTTATTTATATGTAGGTGGAATATAGGTGGTGTAAAAAATGTTATATAGTGTAAATGTAGTCATTTGACGCTTGTGTGGTAATATAAAAATGTATAAAGTTATTAATATATATCGTAAAATCTTGGTTCACTTAAACATAATGGCTTTTCAACTATTCAACACTCCAAGAAATAATAAACCCTAAATATAGCTTATTGTATTGTGTTGTACTCGTTTTTGAAAACATCTCCGAATGGAATATAAGAAAGAAAGAGTATTTGGAGTTAAATCAGCAGCATTGCTGATTGTTTACCGTAGATTTACCGTCATAGTTTTGTGCACCTATGGCATACTTTCCCGCGTATTCTTTATTTAACGAAGGAAACACGCAACGAATTGAAACACCTTGAAAATGAATGACATTAGAATTAAGACGATTTGATGTAACGAAAATAAGTTTCAAAGAATTATATAATTATTGCACTCGCCTCCTTCGACGCTTTTTATTCTGTATAAATATTTCGAATTTACACAGACGCACACTAACGAAGCCACGACCAAATTGCTCCTTAACGATATACTGAACATTTTACTTTGTGTCGCACAACTGCTGCCCTCTATATGCAACAACGGTTCAGACTTGGCAGGTCTCGATGTCAAATATCAGACGCGTGATGTCAGAGACGTTCACGCCAAGTGCAATGAGCTCTTCAAATGTTTCGTATACAGGGGTGCTGATCTACATTTCATAAATCAGGTATGTTTTCAAATATCTTGGTTAATTAAAGCCACATTAGAACTGAGAAATATTAAAAGTTTTGCGACTCATAAAACCCTGTTTCAGAGATTCATTATCGTCAGCCCTTTTTACATCCCCACTGTAGGGGCTCAGGCCTTATGGATAGTTAAGGGTGGTGGGCCATGACTTTTCACCCTGGCCAATGCGGGTTGGAGGGTATTAATGACTGCAAATTCTTCCAAGACCAATAGCTTAGTGTGCCTTCCAAAGCACGGAGTAGCTTGAGATAATCACCCATCCTGTGCGAAAGTTGCTTAACAACACCGACTGCAATCCGCGGCCCTTAATCACTACGCTACCGAGCTACTCTCAGAGACACCCGCAAATATTACTATGTTTCTGAAACATGACGACATTATATTTGTTGTGAGCGAGAAAAGATTCAGTTCTCAAATAGAAACTTTTTTTCTATTAATTTCATTGAAAGGAAGAAAAGTATGGACGGTGTAACAGAACAGAATTTTCAAGTCAATTATAATTTAAGGCCCTGATGTGATCGGAATATCTCTCAAAACAAAAATGCAATTGAAAATAAACGTCTATTATTGTAGGCGTTTAAAGAGCAGAAAGAAAACCCGGTGCAGATCAAGGAATATCCGAGCCCTTGGTTCACGTTCGTCAGTCCGCGTTTATTCGATAGCAATTTCGACGATTCTCTGGGAGCAGTCAGCAGTACTAGACTTCTGCCAAACGCTACTGGCGTAGGCCTAGAGCTGACTGTGTTGCTGGCTCAACCGCAGCCATGTTGGGCTTTATTAGTAAAGGTAAGGATCGTTACATAATATCATAATGCTTAGTCGTTTAAATAACAATATCGCGTAATATAATTTACATTTAAGAACATATGTACCAACATGGAGCTATAAATATTATGACTATGACTATAATTCGAAAAAAATATTTTTTAACTTAATTAAAGAATTCTATTTTTCATATCGATACACACTGCTGATTTACATTTGACCATCGCCTACGAAGTACTATTTTATTCCGTTATAATTTTCAACCTTATAACTATACTCCATTCATTATAGCATTAGACAGAATGAAAATAAGGTTCTTTTTATGGTATACTTTGTGACAATATGTCAACAATCATGTTACTCTTAAGACTAACGGCTAATTTGCTACATATCCACTTAAATACCAGCTGCTATACTTAACCGTAGTCTTTTAAGCTATATATTAAATAAATTTATGAGTATTTGACTGACTTAAAATATTTAATAATTATTACAATAAAAAGTGTTCATCTTAAAGAACCTAAAGAAGCAGGGTTGATAGTTTCGGCAGTACAGCTTTTTAATTTTGTCAGATTATGATTTATTCATAATAATCAAAATATGTAATCTGGGATTCTCATTCATTGTGAATACTACTGCCTTTCTTGTAGTTTTGTCATTTTCAGTGATTGAGTAATTACTGTTTTATTATTGTTTTCTTATAGTTTTGTTTTAGTTGTTATCTTTATGTTGTTAAGTTTTGCTAAACTGCGATTCCGGTGCACGCTCGAGTGGCCTACAAAAATTAGGTATCGTAAAAAATAGAAAATTGCCCAGCTCTTTCAGACTACCTAATGTTCAAAGTTTAAAAAAAATGCAATATATATTTTTTAAAAATATCTTGAAAATAAAATGTTCTGAACTGCTGCTTCTATGACCCTCTTTTTTCTAATGTTATAATGAATGGAGTATAGCTGGATTCATGAGATACAACCCGGTGACAGACGAACAGACAGAAAAATGGATGGACTGACAAACAGCGGAGTTTTAGTTATTGGGTCCCATTTTTTCCTTTCGGGTACGGAACTGTAAAAAGGCTTCCAAAAATTAGTGAAAATTTGCCATTTCAACCTTACAGCAAATACTTCTTTCTTTACCTAAAGAATATAGGAAAGTTATGAGAACTTCCTTTTTTTTTGCGCGCACATCTCACTTTCAATGTTTTATTTTGAGGATATTGCTTTCGAACGCAAAAAAACTATTGTGGCAGGTGTTAATAATGAGGAACTGTCACTTGGCTCGGTATTTGCTGAGTACGGGCATGCGCGCTGCGTGTACTGATAACCAGCGATGGCCTTCCGGCGGTCGTTGGTATTACACGCATACGCCGTGTAGTGGTTCACTCTGCACCGCAGACGGACACTGTGTGTTCCAACCCGATGCCGACGGTACGTTTTATAATTATGTGATATGCTACTCGCCCTGCACTGGCTCATTGTGCACTGCTGAAGGAGACTGTGAATTCAACTAGGCGCCGACTGCACGTTGTGCTATCTCAAGCCCTACGCTAGTTCACTCTGCACCGCAGATGGACACTGTATATTCAAACCTCACACCGATGATACGTTTTGCTACTATTACGTTAACTTACTTGTCCTGCACTGGCTTACTTACTTACTTTCTCTCTACTCCGTTTCTCCGTTCCGTTTCTCCGTTTCTCTGTACAATGAACACTGCCTGTTCGGGTGCGAATACTGCATTTACCTTTCTGACGCCGACCGTATGTTAACGCTCTGAACTATTTCACTTTTCACCGCCAATGAATATTATACATGAAAATTTCCGTCAGATTTATATGTATCAATTAATTTCAGCTGGAGTGGAATATGCCAGAGCGGTGGGTGCGTTAACGCATATATTGTGTATGGTTGGCAGTAAAGTTGAACTGAATTCTACATTATGCTACGCTCTAGAAATATCTGGCCGCGACTGGGCTTCATGTTTGGATAAGCGACAGGTAAACAAGACCTTACAAAAAACGCAATCTGCCATTTTTTAAAATAATAGTTTGCCTCAATTCTGGTAACATTAACGTAATTTCTATTAATATACTGTCGCAATTTCGTTTTAATAATATATATATATATATGTCGTAAAGTAATGCGGGACCGGCGGAAAGTTAGGTTGATCAACATTTGCCATCTGACTAGTGTTCGAAATATTCCTTCCAAATAAGATCGTAGATAGATCACAAATCAGTTATTTAATTGAATTAATTAGTTGTCTAATTGAAATACACTAATAATAACGTGATGCAAACGGATTGCGATACGAAACGCGGAGAGTTCTGCGCTTGCCTCCGCTCAATATGGCCGCACAATGTAAAGTGCCATCTTCGAACAAGCATAGACCAAGCGATGACAGCCGTCAATGTCATAACTTGACGTTTCGCAAAGCACCATAGATCCTGACAGATGACAGCTGCAGGTGACAGATGGCGTTTCGCACAATCGAAACGCCTTCTCGCCGACATATATATATATATAGCTTTTATTTTTACACAATTATTGTTAATAGATCTCATAAATACAAACATATTCAACACCATTGACTTATTGAGCAGCTATCGTGAAGTAAATTTCATTAGAAAATTGAAATTAATTCCGACGATTACCGAAAATTAATGAAAATTTATAACGAGCCTTATTTCAATAAGCATAAGGTGTTAAATACGACGCTTTAGATGTCTGTTTCATTCACACCTGTCGGGTTAAAGCGCACATCTAAAGCGTTACATTCACACATCTAAAGCGTCGTATACGCTTTAGATGTCTGTTTCATTCACACCTGTCGGGTTAAAGCGCACGGCTTGTATCGTTAGATGGCACGATACTTGAATTATCTGATTTTAGGACATTGAGTAGATTGGTGAACCACGTTACCTATATCATACTGTTCGAATAATACAGAGTGCCAAATCAAAGTACTGTGGCTAAACCCACTTAATATAAAATTATATTATTACGTCACATAAGGCCCAAAAGTAAAGCCCTATTATTAATATTACCAAAAGAAACATGAATGGCTATTAAACTATTTGTATCCGAAGAAATAATTGAACGTGGTGTTAGTCTTGAGCTTCATTAAGAGCAGTAAGTTTTTTAATCCGCCGCCATATCTTTTTTGGTCGCTTAGAACCGCTATTTGTTAGAAAAAGATAGTGAGTTTGCACGCCGCGTAATTCTTAAGGGCGATAGGCCATTTTCTCGTTCTAGCAAATGGTGGCAACAGAAAAGGATAGGGCGACGGAAAAAGATATCGCGCAAGTGCTTTAAACTATTGCTTGCCTAAAGCAAATTGTCAATGTCAGAAGAGAAAACGTAAAATTGAGACGTGTCGATTTAATTTGGTCGGAAAATGGTTTAAACCAGTGGCCTGATTATCTAATTTCAAGATCTATCGCGATCTCTTTAAATGTACAGCTATTGTGAAAGCGATTTATGGAATTATGTAACTTTAGTGTACCGTTTTCTAAAATAATGATATTCTGAATTATCAAGAAACAACAAATATTTAATATCTTAAAGTAATATTTGCGTCTAACACTTGCCTTATAACATTCCAATGAACCTTAAATTAACGATGTCGTTAATACGATAAATTTAAAAAAAGGACGTCGCGATGGTAAACGCTATCATATGTCAAAAAGTTTAAAGTTCAGTTTTATAATAAGACTGGATGTGACCCGTAGGTGTGGTGTGACCGGAGACCCGCGTGGTTAGCCGGTGTGCTGGCCACAATCGGTACTTGTCTTAACTACATACCGCCCATACTAGTTAACGCTGTTCGGTCAGCAGCCTCTATCTACCAGGTTCGTTAATCTCACCGTCGTAATGTATATGGTAACTTTACTACTATTTGCATGTATAACTTACCGGCCGTATTGGTCTACGTTATAAGTTAGCCACCTCCATCGATAACTCGTATGAATTGACATGATACCTCAAATCTTATTCTATTTGTTCTCAAACGAAAATTCGAAAAATTTTGAATATTTCTTAAAGTTATCTGTGAATCAGAGGCAGTTTTAGGTCCTACCTCCGTTGCCTTATAAATTATCGAAAAACGCGTTACTTTAGAGTCGCATTAGCATTTAAAAAATAGACAAAATTTTGGTTTCGGAGAAACAGAATAAGTCTTCATCATGCGTTGCATGACAACTAGAGAAACGCTTTGTCTACACCAAATACCACTTTTCTCTGATCATAAGTGAGATATAGTATGGGCGCACCCGTGAAAAGTGACATTTGGATGTAGATAAAACGTTTTAGAATTCGTCATGCTACACGTGCAGGCGTGATGTTAATTCGCAACGAGTAGTGGGAAATTCTCACAGTAGGCTCAAAAACGTGTTAATTTTATGAAATATTTTTCCAAAATAATAAAGACATAAATATAATGGATTGGATATATATACCAGTTTTGTTCAATCGTATTTGTAATTTTCAGACGATGTCGTTATGTTTGAGCTGCATATCCCGCACATTGGACTGTATACCTTGCTGCTTTGTGAACGCGTGCACCGTTATAGAGCGTAGTCTACCATCGGGCGTGAATCCAGTGGGTGGATCTGTGATGCTTCAATTGGTCATTACACGACTGTACGAGGAGATAATCAGCTGGGCACAAAAGGAGGCCGCTAGCGAAAAGGCTGGTTAGTGCTTCCTCATTGGAAAGTTGAAATGTCACGGTTATAAATATTGGATAAGACCTCTTTAGGTGTTATCAAATATTTGAAAACATGTCTGTATACATCCAAAAAGTGAATTGACTCAGCTTAAGTTGTTACAACGTAGGTTGGGATAACGCTGGTATTCTGGCAGGTCTGTTGTTGTTTGACGTATCTACATATAGATACACAAAAAGCGTAATTGAATAAATTGATGATTAAATTATATTATATTAATTGAATAAACGTACATAAAAGGCCACGATAAAAAATTGAATAGACTAAATACAATTAAGTGAATGCCACACATATTAATAGATGAGGCTGTATAAATTAAATCCCTTTGTTTTTAATTAAAAATAACTTATTTAAATACACGATTAGAAGTACCATAGTGATGATAGGATGCTATCTACCGAGTGAACTGATCGCTGCGTCTTTACGACTTCCAACACCAATAAGACCGTACACGTATTGCGTATACTTGAAATAATGAAATGTTCCGTTCACTTTTTCTGTTATATCGCCAACATTTACGCACGCTCTTTTCATTGCAATAATAGCTGTAGAATTCCTTTGACCTTTGCAAACTGGAAATTTATTTTCAATACTATATAATTATAGCCAGCACCGGCAACGGTGAAGCCAACCAAATGAAAGCGACACCAAACAGACCAAAACATAAACAAGTCCGAATTGTCAGTCTCGGTGATACTGGTAAGTAATTTTATGTAATAATAACATCTATGGTAATATTTACAAATCTTGTACACAATACAAATGATAAGATGAAAGTCAATTGAACATTTTCTTAATTACTATTGACATTGCACAGATATTGATAAGTTGATAGTTCAATTATTAAAAGACACATTATTGCTGGATATAAACTGCTTATTTATTATTACTAATTATCAAAGCGGGTATAAAATTATGGACATGCGGAATGTCTTGATAACCTTTTTATTATCAAGTTGTTATTTTCACTGTAAAGACTTAAGTACTTACCAAACACATTATGTTGATTCTTTGCTGCTACAAGCTATAATCAAATTTTATAAGATTTAAAATCCTGTGAAGATTGGTGGCAGATTTTTCACTAAACCAATGATAATATGATTGTAATAAAGGTTATTTTCGTACAGCCACATCGAGGTCGGTGAGTTTTGATGGCAGTCAAAGTACTGGTTCGTGCATAGCGTTAGCAATAGCCGAAGCTCTGTGCTCGATCGACGAAGATGACAAACACACGCAACAGATCATACAATTAGTAGCTCAGTCCAAGAAATCATTTGCACTTTCTAATATGTTTGGATTGGAAGATTTTCCGGAATTTGCTGAGTTATTCCAAGAGGTATATTAAACTTATTTTTCTTTTCCATCCCCTGATGTATCCCTAAAGCGTGGAATACGGGTTAGACAGTTGACGAAATTAAATACATATTTTTTTTTTGTTGGTAGTATTTAATATACTATTACAGGTAATAGGGACGACGACTGGGTAAAAAAAATGCAATTCTATTTAGTGTGTCAGTCAGATGATATGTTTTTTTACTTCAATTTAACAAGAAATAGCTTTGATAACAGGCATTAAAGTTGAGGTGTGGGGGCTCGCTACGTCACAGTTTAGTAGAAAACGTACCATAACGTGACGTCATACGAAATTTCAACTCCATGTGACGCCGTCATTTTACGATTACGAAGAAAATAAAAAAATACGTGTTTAATATTTTTAACACTCTACCAGACAGACAAAAGAACAAAAATTAGCCGTCATCCCTATTACACTTTTATGCATATTATATATATAATTTTGTTTATATTAATTATGAAAAAACAATCTGTGTTCTTTAAGTATTTTGATAAATCAAAATATCGAAATACTAATCTAAAGACTCGAACTCGACATTGAGTACAGCTCGAGCTCATTGAATTTTTCTACAGAATAAACATGACAGTCATTATTTTTTGACTTTATTTTAATGACTTCAAACTGAATTAGGGAGGAGGTCTGTTAGCTTGTTATTCTGAAATATCAATATATTATGTTCAATTATTTAAATCGAGTTGCTTGAATAGCAAGAGCTTTAAATATTATTTTGCAATTAATGGAAAAATATACACATATAGTTAGGCAAATGAACACAAAAAGCGGCCTTATAGGGACGTCACGCTTTTGTACATTTTCTACAAAGCTTTGACATAGCGAGCCCCCAATTCTCAACTTTAATGCCTATTATCTAAGCCATTTCGTGTTAAATTGAAGCAATAAAATACGTATGTTTAATTTTTCTATCATCCGACTAACGGACAAAAAAAAATATTTGTGTTTTACCCAGTCATCATTCCTATTTGTAAAGTAGCTCTGGATGCGAACCACATAGAAAATATACTTTTCTATATTGTCTGGGTGCTATGGTAACTTTTTGTCTTAGATATTCTATAATACTATTTATTTTAAAACAAAAATACTACACAATAACCGAAAAAAAAAGAAATCAAAATAGATTGACTAAATAGTCAAAGCACTAGTTCAGTAAGAAGCGTCCAGTTTTAGAAACCAGAGACCCGTGATGATGTGCGTCTGAATTTACAGGCAAGGAGGTCCAAACTTTAATATCTCTCTTTATTGTTTTTAATTTTTAATTTGAAGTACAGTTGTAAGCGAGCGAGTAGCTTGGTCGCGTAGTGGATAAGTGCTGAGGCCTGCTATCGCTGTTGTTAAGCAACTTTCGCAGGGGTGCTCATGGGATAGGTGACCAAAACAAAAAAAATATTTCAAGATACCCCGTGCTTCGGAAGGCACGTTAAGTCGTTGGTCCCGGCTGCATTTGCAGACGTTCATACCCTCTAAACCGCATTGAGCCAGTGTCTCCACGCTGGCGGATGGAGGCAAGATGGCGCAAGGAGGATGGGCCATGATCGGAGGATCATTAACTATCCACAAGGAAGGCTAGAATCACTCCATTGGGGACTTAAAACAGCTAATAATGAAGATGATGACAGTTATAAAGGGTAATATTATACCTGGTGATTTTTGTAGGGTGATGTGCCTGCAAACGCGGAACGTGCGGGCGACGCTGCCGCACTCACAACTCAGATACTGATGTCCGCACCTGGCAGAGACAGCATGAGGGTGAGCTACACGTGTCTCTTTCATACAATAAACGCAGGCTGGATTTTAATGATGAACACGTTACATTAGAAATTATAAGGTTAATTATTCTAAGCTATATTAATACCTCTTGACACATCTTTTTAGTGTGCGTAATTATATGTCTCTAACTACAGTTGAGACATTATAAAAAGTCACATTTGACATCTATCAATCAGAACTTGACAATGAGGCCTTCTTCTTAAGATTTTCAATAAATTTATCGAAAAAAATGGTTTTTAAAGTAATGTGAGTCTATTCAAGTTATTATGATAAAATATTATCAATTACTTAGTTAGATTAAATTATGTATTGTGTCGTCATTATAATAAGGACAACAGAAGAAAATCACTAATAATAAATGAATAAGAAATTGGTTGTTACGAAGCGTAATGCAGAATCTTACAGAGTGTGGATTAATCCAAAACAACTTTGTGTCTCATTGCCAATGTGGCCACGGAAAATAGATAGAGACGGGAGACATATGCGGGTAAAAAACTGTTTGGTGAATTACTCGCAAAGTTCATTTGACTATTATGATTAACTGTTGAATGATTCCATGGTCATAAAATGGTGTGCGTGTTTATTAATTTTCCCAATAAAATATAATTACAATAGGAAATGGAGGAAATTGAGAATTTTAGTGGTAACTTTATTATATGATTCTATAGAAAAAAAAATCATCAAATCAACTTCCGACTAGACCAAACAATAATTCCGACTTTTTGGATATCTCCTTACTGTTTAAAAAAGCAACTGGTCCACAAGCATAACATTGTAGCTGCCTTGAGTTTATTTAGAATGAAATAGATTTATTACATTTAGAAAGTTTATTGGTCAAAGTAAAAAGTAAAATTACTTTCGTTTTATATTATAACAATAAATATATTTAATAAAAAAGAAATTTGTAAACGTACCATTGCCGTAACTATGAAAAAATCTAATATGTTAACTACAATACAAGGTTACTTTGAAGTTGACTAAGATATGTCAAATGTGGCCTATTATAATGAGCCAACTGTAATATCCTTTTTTTATATTTCGGATAAAATAACGATTTGCGGACAGTCGAAGTTCAAAATTGACTAAAAAATATCAAATGCGGAGCAAAATTTCTATTTCAGTCAGTTCCAACTTAAAAGTTCTACTTATAAAGTCATTAATAGTAGCAAATTGTTTTATTCTATAGATCTAGTTGTAATAGGAACATCAATGGTATCTTAAAGTCTAGTCAAACAGAACGGAGAAGTTTTCGAGGCGTGCTCAAGCATTATTCCTGCAGTCATTTGCATATCGAATGTTAGTTAAATAGCACGTAAGCGGTTAACTGTGTGGATACACTTGAATTCTAATTGCAAACTCGTTGGGATTGAACAAAGTTTATATTCATTTGATGACCTCCCGAATCTGACCATGGCTAATGGAGTTAGTTTTGTAAAACATCCTGGTATTTATACTGATATTTATGTTTTGTTTATATATAAAAAAATAGTATCAAAAACTAGCTATTTCCCCGCCAGCCTATTTTATTTATAGTCTAATTACAGCCTATATCAAATATTTTTGAAGACTACCCCTACAAACAAACAAACAAAGTTAAAAACTTTACCTTTTATAATCTTAGTACAGACAGTAATAGAGATTGTCAAATAACTTGAAAGTAATATCAAAATATACTGCCTACGTTTTTATTATTATATTAATCTACCATTTTAGTCAATGATCTCAAAAATTTGTTTTCTTTAGGTCATCTACGATCATATACAACTACACGCTGACAGGATTTTCAAAGAGCTTGGTGTGCAAGAGGAGAGCGATCATGATGTGTCATTAAGTAATGCGCCGCTTCTTTACATCATGTTTCATATCGGAAGACGACCCTTTGATCAGGTAATTGGATATTTTATATTTAATAGATACGTGTTCTATTTTGAATCGAGCAGTAAACTTTGATTGCTATTTTACCATCGACTCTACCAAGTATATGAGGTATATATCTAGCAGACTGACAAACCAGTTGTCACCTATTGGGATAAATTTTTTATAATCTTTATTTAGAGGCCTTAGTCGCTGAGCGATTATCTTAACCTGACTATCGGGATTGGTATGACCAATTTTAGACCAATCCTGATAATCAAGGACTTTATTTGGTTCTGGTTTGAGTTACGCTGCAGGCTGTTATTTTTATATCAAAATAGCAACACGTCAAAAATCTATCAGAAAACATCGATTTTGAATCGAATAAGCATCCAGCACATGTGTTGCGTACAAATTCAAATCGCTTTCAGTGGTTTTTAATACTAAATATATGAGTTTCGGCTACTTGAATCTGCAGTTACTTATCTGTTGTTTAGATAAAACTTAATTTTTATGAATAACACATGATATTAAAAGAAATCACAACAGGGTTACCTGGCAAAATTTAGCCGCAATTACCTTTAATTAATGTTATGATTTCTATTAATAAATTTTGGATAATCTTTATTTAATAATAGGGATGATGACTAAATTTTGTTTGTTCGCCATAAGGTGGATTATTGAAGAATATTATACATATTTTTAGTATCATTGAATTACGGCGATACATTGAGTTGAAATGTAACATGACCTCACACTTTTGTACATTTTCTCAAAAACTGACGTACGAGCCTCCACTCTTCAACTTTAAAGCCTATTATCTAAACCATTTCATGTTAAATTGAAGCAAAAAATACGTATCTCATATTTTTCTATTATGTGACTGACGGAACAAATATAGTTTCTTTTTTTGTCAGTCGTCATCCCTATTATGTGTATAGTTAGTATATATTATTGTATAGTTATTTCTTAACACTATATGGGCAGTATCTTCGTGGGGAGTGGCCATTGCCATGGAGTAAGCTGGTGGGACGGTGTCGAGTATGGGGCGCTGACGGAGCCCTCGTGCACGTAAACAGAAGAAGTGACGTTCCTCGACGACAATCAAGGCCATCACGTCGGCCACTGCAGCCGTATGGGATGTTGCACTCTCATACGCCATCTGAAGCCCCGCCCAAAATGTAGAGGGTATTAGAGCACGTCAACGGATGTAGGTATCGGACCATAATTCTAAATCTTCGCGCTTGCTGCTAACGTCATATAATTGGACATATTAAAATAGGTGTGATGTATCCCACCGTCATTCGTGACTGTCGCGTCAGCTGCTACAGCCGTATGGAAAGTTATACTTCCATATGACATCTGAAGACCCGCCCAAAACGTAGAGAGTATTAGTGTATGTCAACGGATGTAGTATCTACCGGACCATCTCTCTAAATCTTCGCGCTTGCTGCTATTGGAAAGTGCCCAGTTGTGCAAGTTAATAGGGGTAACGTATCTTGCCGTCATTCGTGACTATTGCGACAGCCACTGCAACCGTACGGGATGTTACACTCCCACACGCCTTCTGAAGCCCTACCCGAGATATAGAGGGTATTAGTGTACGTCAACGGATTTAGTACCTACTGGATCATCACTCTAAATCTTCGCGCTTGCTGCTATAGTCATACTTAAGCCCTGGAAAGGGCCCAGTTATGCAAGTCAATAGGGGTATGGAATGTAACACTCGGCTTTATTCTAGGTGGAAGTGGTTCTCTTGCACGTAAAAGAGATAGAGTTATGTACCCCACTGTCATTCGTGACCATCGTGCGGCCACCATAGCCGTATAGGATTTACACTCTTATACGCCATTTATGTGTTCACTGCATTGTCCACTGCTGACTACTAGCTGTAGCTCCGCTCTGGATGGATGAAGACGGTGTGAAGTCTACAGAAGCGGCGATGTATCCCGCTTACGACATTTGCTCCGGCTGCTCCAGACGTATGTGATGTTACACTACCCCCACCAACTGAATACCTGCTCTAGATTAGGGGGATTTAGTATACGTAAACAGATGCGGTAATGTACACCTACTATTACTCGTGGTTTGAGTGGCAGATTTGTTATATCTGTAGACCACAGATCGGCACAAATTTCACAGACACTCTAATATTAATAAATTATTTAAAATATTCACATCATAAAATCAGAATTAATCAACTTCGTAGATTATTATTATATCATTACGACTGTTCACGTGTCATTATTCAAAGCCCTATCGTTGTTATTTCTCTTTTCAAAGTGTTTGATTGAGATGCAAACATAAGTACGTTTGGTTGAGTGCTAAGTCTGAACAAAGCTTTAACCAAATATAAAAAATTTAGTATTTAACTAATATAATACATGTTTTGTGGAAATAATCAAATAATACATGCTTTTTTTTTCTTTGAAAATATATATGTCGCTAATTTTAAAAATTGTGTTTTTATTCAGATCTCTCTGATTATAATTTTATTTCTAAGGTGCAGATGATCTCCATTTTGTCATAAATCACTCTTTACATTTTAATTTTGAAAGCACTTCCGTACTTTTCATCAACAGGGATGATGCCTGGGTGAAAAAAAAAGAAATATTAATTAGTCCATACGTCTGATAATATTGGATACGTATTTATAAGAAATACTTAAGATAATGTGACTTAAATTTGAAGAGCGCAGCGTCATAGCTACGTCGCAGCTTTGTAGGAAATTGTAGATAATAAAAATCGTGACGTCATGTGACGTTTTAACCTAATTTATCCGTTGATTATGCATAAATTACAGCGATAATTTTATGCGTTCATAAAATATAATAATCTACCCAAAGGACAAATGAAAACAAATAAATAATTATCTCTTTTATTGAGATCATAAATATCATGAAATTATTGAATGAGTATTGGCTATGTCCATGACTTCAACGCCACCTAGTCAATGCATTGAGTCAAATGCCATGACCCCAAATATTAAATGCCAAATTCCAAAATATATATCGGACATCTTTCTGAAAACTGTTTTAAACAATTTGTTATGGGCTCCTTTTACCACAAAAAAAATATTATTTTATGTAAATAAACCTTAAGTAAACATAATGTACCCTAAATTATGTTTATAATTTACCTGTATCAAAAAACCACATAAACGGCAACTTGGAGGACGTGACATCATTTGTGGGGTTAACAAAAGGGATTTGCAGTGAAAAAAGAAATCGTCTGCAGTACTTATATTTTAACTCATAAATAAGTAAAACAGTAAACTGACTCTTGTTACCTGTTAAAAATAAAAAAAAATCATTAAGATTATTTTGTACTTTTAATGTTCCCCGCGCTTTGCTTAGATAGATTTACTACCAATTTACCCACAGGTGACGTCACGCGCTCTGATTGGTGTTTCATTTGATGTGAGACAAAGACTACAAATATTGGAAAAACGTATTTTTGTTTATTTATTTTAAAATATAAATAATAGTTATTTAGAAAAATAATCGGCGAATAATCTTTAAACTTTATAAACCTTTTAATCACATTCAATTTAATTTTTTATCTAATTGCTGGTTGATCCCCTATTCATTTTACAAAATTACTGTGATACAGTGTTTTGGATAGGTACATGTTTTTTATCATTCAAAGTCAATAAGATAAGTAACATTTATACATTTTTTTATTTAATTTGGTAATGTCAGATTTTTTTTACTTGAATTTTAATTACAATTTCACTATAAATCAAGATTAAAATCTATAAAAAAGTGATAAACACTTATCTCAAAAGTGACTTATTCAATAATATAAAGGATATGTTCACAGCATATGATATTGATATAGATATAGTTCTATATAAATAAAAATGTTCAACATAAAAGTCTTAGAAAAGAAGATTGTGGTTATATGGTCGACATACTTTTTTCAAATAATTCTATACACATATTATAAAGAGGAAAGATTTGATTGCGTGTTCATTTGCATTGAGTAGGCTCGAAACTATTATAGACCGATTTATAAGTCTTTCATCTACGGGAAGTTACATAATATGCGTTGGGCATATGCTATAATTTATGCAAGCGAAGTCGCGGGGTTAAACAGTAAGTTTAATAGAAATTATTTCACAATTCAAAAAAAACAATACATAACTACTACTTCGATCAACAATACACCTCGCATACTAAAACAATATACAAATACTGCATCATACACTGCGATAATCGAGGGATATTATACCACAGAGTATATCTGTGATGAATTATCACTGCCTGAAAAACTGCTTTAAAAACCCGCATTGTGTCGAGGGTTTTTCAAGCATTTTTGATTAAAAATAAAAACATTATATTATTATTGTATTAAACAAAAAAATACTTATAAAACTAACGATAATAATGTCGAAAGTAATCCATTTAAACGTAATTTTACTGGAAAAATATGATTTAAGGTTTGTTAAATGATGTATTATCAACGTATAAAAATTGTTTACGTCTACGTTCTCTTTTTAGTATGGGAACCGGCACAGCGCCCCTAGCGGTAACTAATCAAGAACTACAAATCTCCATACAAATTTTTAACTTATTATTAATTACCTTGTTGTGTTAATAATTCTTAAGCGTGGGTATGTGTGGGTGAGCTCAACAAGCTAAATATGATTTGACTTTTTATATAAAACACATATTTTTTTTTAACTAATGCACAATTAAAATATCTAGGCAATTAATAAAAGGAAGAACTTCCGTGCTTCGGAAGGCACGTTAAGCCGTAGGTTTCGGCTGCATATATTGTCGTTAATATCCACCAATCTACACTGGGCCCGTGGGGTGGGTTTTGGCCCATTCTTCCTATTTAATTTGATCCGGTACATAGGGAAAGGCCCGAGTGTGGGCGTTAATGGCTGGTGATGATGATGAATGATCAATCATTAATTTATTGATTAAAAATAAAATCTATAGTATTTATAAAAGAATGAGATTTACACCTGGGTTCTGAATTGACAATTTGTTGTTAAGCACGTCTCAAAACGCACTTAAGCCATTTCAAATGTCGTTTAAGCAGGATTTTGTTTGATTTGAATTTATTTAACGATCAGTTGATAGCAGTTTGCTAAAACTAGGACTTTTTGCTAGGCGAAACGTCAGTTAATGAGAATAAACAGTTGAGATTTTGCAATATCTCAATTCGTTTAAAACTACATCTACATTTTATTCAAGAATTAGTAGTTTACGTATAAAAATCCGCAAAGATTCCGCGTAGGAAAGAAGCATCAGACTTTAATCAAATTATCATCTGACATCTGAATATTATTAAGATTCACGATAGCGGCCTGTTGGAGTAAGTTATCTGATTGAATAAGAAGAAACTGAAGTAATTCTAGTTCCCTTAATAACACCAATGTCTGGGAATCATAAATCCCAGTTAAAAAACTAATGACATCGATAAGTAGTAAGTTACAAATTTAATGCTAAGCGAGAGATTATGTTTTTGAGTTGTTATTTTATTACTGGTTTCTTATATTTACACACGCACTGCTCATTGTCACTCTTCTCTCACTTTGCTTTCTCGGTCGGAACCTGTAAAGGATTTGAAATGTCTAAAATATAGTTGAGCACGTAATACCACATGACATGTTATATGTAAATTGAGATCAGCCTCACTGTGCTACTACTGGTTTTAGATCCAAAGTCACTATTTTAGTCATATCGTATGGTAAATTCGTCGTTCTGTTAGGTCCTAGGTAGCTGGCTCAGTGGTTAGAGCAGTCGCCCGGATTGGATCGGGTTCGAGTCCCACCTCAGGATGCTAGAGACAAAGCGGATTTTTTAAGCATTTTTCACTTATTCTTAGTGAAAAATGCTTAAAAAATCCTATTTTTCAATATAGCATTGTGACTGCTAAATTGATCAAATAAAATACAAAATTGTTTTACCTACAATCGTTGACAGTATGAAATAACTATCGCTATAAAATAAATTTCTTGTTAAAACTTGTAAGAGCGAGATTAAGCTGTAGTTGGGTTTAGTTTTGAACTTATTTTTTATATTAAGGTATTAAACAGACTTTCATGAAGTTCATTGTTCAAACAATTTATTATAAATTCAATCAACATTCATAGTATGAGACAGAATCAGTGAAGTACCTGTATATGTTGTTTATTCAACGCTCGACACAAGCCTGATTCGATTGTTATGCATTCAACATCGGTCGGAATCAAATTTTGATTTGTTCTGTTTGATTTCAAACTTTGTAACTTGTTATTTTGTTATCGATCACTTACGATCGAGTAACGAGCGCGGGACGCTAACGAGGATACGTTTTTGGAACCCAATTAATGTTCGAGACAGAAATTTAGATGTAGATTTTCTGTAGGTAGTTTGAGTGTAGTACATGCATAAATTGTATTTATACTAAGACCTAATCTAATGAAATTAGCTATGTATATAACTTTGTTAATAAATAAATTAAGGTCAAAATAGATGTTCGGTTAGGATTATAATAAGCCACTTTCGACCAATGCTTGTTTATTTGTATTGAATAGGTTTCAAAACTTTTGAGAGGATGTTAGATGTAGATTTTCTGTGGGTAGTTCGAATGTAGGTACATACATAAATTGTATATAAAACGTGATTGCCTGAACGGTAATTATCTATCTAAATTTGTAAATAAAAAATCAAGGTCAACAATAAATATGAGGTAAGGATTACATTAGGCCAGTTTCGGTCATTATTTTTGGTATACTTACATTATAGATATTACGCTCTATTAACATATCTCCAGCAGTGGTTGAATGGTTTCATAGTTACCTGTCTGGACGCCGTCAGCGAATACGTATTGAGGATTCCTTTTCCACTTGGTGCAACATTTCTGCCGGGGTGCCGCAGGGTGGCGTTCTCTCTCCATTACTTTTCGCTATATTTATTAGCTCAATTTCACGACAACTAGTTTCATCCTATCACCTTTATGCAGATGATCTACAAATTTATTCCCAAGCTACTCCTGACCAACTAACTTTTGCCATCAATACTGTAAACCGTGACCTTGAGTTTGTCTTTGATTGGAGCAAGTGTTACGGATTAAAAGTTAATCCTTCAAAAACTCAAGTCATGGTAGCTGGCAGCCCCTTTATGACTAATAAAATTGACTGGTCATGTTTACCTGCGATTTCATTTGGTGGAATTACTTTGACCCCCAGTGAATGTGTTAAAAATTTGGGCATAGCTATAGATAAAAACTTAACATGGCGGTCACAAATTGAGGAAGTTAGTCGTAAAACCTTTGCTGCTGCTGGTTCTTTGAGACGGTTGCGTAACTTTTTACCAATAGCAACTAAGACTGCACTTGCACAATCTCTTCTTTTACCTATCCTGGACTATGCCGATGTCAGCTATCTAGATCTAACCGAGGAGCAACTAAATAAACTTGAGCGGCTTCAAAATTTTAGTATAAGATTCATATTTGG